TGTAGTATTTTTTAGAAAAAGTTAAAGTAATTCAGGTATTAACATGTAGAGTGGTAGCAGCTTCAGTATAAAATGATTGTGGTAGATGTAAGAAAATTTGAAGAGTGTGCTTTACATAGTGCCATAATAAAGATGATGATGATTATCATGATGACGATCAACAACATCAACATAATTTTTATTATCATTGTCAAGCTTTCTGCTTTTATGCTGTTGGTGATCATGATGATTATGATGATGATGATGGTTATGATGATCATGTTGATCACAATGATGTTCATATATGCATGTATATACAAAATATAGCATGAATTTAAATTTAAAAAATATACTTTAGGATGTATAAATGTTTATGCAGCCTGGTCTCATACCCGGCCCTGGCCCCGGCTATATTTTATCAAACCCGGCCCCGGCCCCAGTCAAATATCAACCCCAGTTATTTACTACAAAACATTTCAAGAATAAAAAACGTTGTGTTATTTTTAAAAACAATAACTTATTTTATGCTGTTTTGACTATCACAATATATATATATATATATATATATATATATATATATATATATATATATATATATATATATATATATATATATATAATTTATATATATATATTTATTTTTATTTTTTAAAATTAATAATAATCATACTAATTCAATAACATTTTTTAAACATTTGCTTTCAGATTGATAATGATACAAGTTTTATTTTTTGATTTAGATTCTGTATCTCAATGATATCCTGGCTTATCGATACGATATCCTGTAAATCCACTCACATACAAGTTTTACTTACACACGTAATTCCTGTAAATTCACTCACACACATAAATCTCAAAAAAGATGTTTTTATTTTTATCTATAAATTGTAAATTTTATATAAATAAATTGTATATTTTTTATGTTTTTTATTGTATATTACTATTTGTATAAAAATCGACTTTGGAAATGTTGCAAGTGCAGAGTTCAACATACAATTTTGTTTTATTTGCAAATTTTATATACATTATAACCAAGTTTAATCACGTTTAATAATATTTTGCGATATTTTCTCATTAATATTATATTAATGATATTTTCTCATTATATCTCAATAATATTTTTGCGTTAATTTAACATTATATTTCAACCTTTACTCGACGTCTTTGAGTCACGTTAAATCGACGTTTTACTACCAACGTTACAAATCCTTGCAAAATCAACTGCTTTATCAACGTTAAAGTAACGCTTTTCAAGTAACGTTTTTTCAACGTTAAGTTGCGGCGCCTATGCAACGCTTTTTAAGTAACGCTTTTTCAACGTTTATTTGAGACATTTTTGTAACGTCTTTTAGTAACGTTTTTTCAACGTTACGCTACAACGCTTAATCAACGTCTCTTTAACAACGTCACATAACTTTGCAAAATCGATTACTTTGTCAACGTTTCCGCAACATCTTTTGCGACCGGTTTTCAACGTTGATTCAACGCTGACATGTTTGCTGGGTGGTTAAACATATTTTGCATAGCAACGGCTCGTAGCAACCCACTTTCTTGTTTGGACTAATTTTTGTATACTTGGCATATTTTTTCAAAAATTGAATTTTAGTATGATGGTTAAGTCTGTTCTATACCGTAGATTAAAAAAAAATAAACAAACTACATTTACTTTTAGTGTTATATAAGAGATGAATAAATGACAAAACTTTATATGTATGTTTATCTTTACTAATGAAGTTGTTTATGAATTTTAGTGACCAGGGAAATGACAATTACCCAGCCGGAAATTTTTGCTTTGCGCCATTCCTGACAACAGGCGAAGTACTGCGCCAGTATTGGCTTACCAATAGTTGGTCGGTCAGTGCTGGCGCGCCAGCACTGACCGACTAACTATTGATAAGCCAATACTATTGGTAAGACCAACTATTGGCTTTTTCACTCAATATAAAAGCAAGCTTGACGTCACAAGAATTTTTGTGTTTAAATGAAAAGAACGTATTTCCGCATAAAAAGTATAAAAATTCACTAACTTTAAAATAATAGTATTTTTTTTCTATAAACGTAATATTGATTTAATAAGTTAGTGAAAATGTAAATATTTGTTTACGTAAAACCTCTCAAGAGAGAAAAACTTTTTTTAATCTGTCAAAAAAAACTTCTGTTTGAGTTGGAAGAAACAAAAATTATTGGTCTTGGAAAGTTTTTCTCTATTTTGTTTTAAGGTTTGCTGCTTAAAAAAAATTTTTTTTTTAATATTATATTTATATTTAATTGACCGTTTTAAACACAATAATGCTTAATTTCTTAAATACATTTTTGATTGCATAATCAAGGTATTTGATATTACGGGTAACCAAGGTATTTAAGATTATCAAAGTATTCAATATTACTGGTAAATACATTGGTTTTAAGATTTTATTTTGGCGCATTTGTATAGAAAAAACTGATGCTTTTTCTCAAAAATCAAATCAAATAGTATTAATAATAAAAACATAAAGTAGATTTTTATACAAAGAGATCTGGCTAACGCTTTATACAAAGAGATCTGGATCGGCATATTTGCTTAAATCAAATCTGAAAAAATCAGCAACTAAGTACATTTGGCTGTCTGGAAACTTGAAATGAATAAGGTTCTTCTTAACTTTTATAAATAATGTTACAATTCACTTCATAAATTTTTTTGTAAAGTTCATAGAAAAACTTGATAATTAAAAAAAAAAAAAAAGAAATCATAACTTTAAAAAAAAAAAAAAAAAGAAATCATAACTACAGAACTTTTTGTGTAGTGAACTTTATGTGAACTAAAAGATTATTATTCAAATATTTTAAATTAAATTTCAGAAATTTTTAAGAAATATTTTTCAGATTTCTGGTTCAATTGTCAGTGTCAGCGACATAGTGACATCATATAACTACAACAATTATTTTGAAATTATTGTTTCATCAAAAGAAAATGAAAATGATACTATTCGAGTTATGGAGGAAGATTACTACAACGCGGTTTTTAAAAAAAAGGGTAGAAGCTATTCAACTTATGATAGAAATGATTTTCAAAACATACCATTTCATAAGTTTCAGGAATGTTTAAGTTATTCAAATTTTATTGAGTTTACTGGTCTTTCGGATGTCAGAGGTGATATCACTCCAGCTCGTTATTTCCAAAGTAATACTTCTTGCTACTTTGTCATTAATGTTAATGGTGATTGTAAAACTACTCCAGATTACTTAGAAGTAAAAGATGTCCTTGAGATGAAATCACCACCAACGATGTTCACAATTCACGGTCGTATTGAATGGATAGACGAATTTTCTCAATATGGTTCCGGCTTCACATCAAATATAAGAGTTCTCAAATGTAACCTTTATGACAGATTTAATGAAGAGTTCAAAATTGTAGCTGAAATATGGTCAGAAGATAATGAAAACGAACGCCCAATATCAGACCTAAAGGATGGCTTTAGCTATCGGTTAGAGTTTATGAAAGTTAGCAAAACAAATTTAGAAGAAAGAGTTTTAACAAGTACATCTAGAACCAAAGTCTACGATATCGACTGTTTTTAGAAACTATTATTTCTTGTAAAAAAACAGTGAATTTTATAGAAACTTGTTTAACCGTTTTTACTTTGGAATAAAAAGGTTATTAAATCAATAATATACATTTTTTGTTTGTTTGCAAAATCCACTTTTTATAAATTCTGAATATTTCCTGTAACAAACTCTTACACAAAATTCAAATTTGTCTAAAGCTTGTGTTAGGATTTTATTCTTTTCTACAAACCCTTGACGGCGCTACCACCACTACTACCACCATCCAGCGCCGTCGAGAGCTGTCACGCCGCCTGGGACAGCAATCCTGATTGACGCCCTTATTTATCAAAGTTTATCTGTAGTATATATGAAGGTGCTTTTTTTTTTAAATACCTACATTTCCTTTGACGCTTTCTTGATATCTGCCGCCCGGGACAAACTGTCCCGGTGGGGCAACCTCTCGGCGGCCCTGCCACCACCACTAAAAAAAAGGTAATCTAATTATTATGCCAAATCTAACTCATATTTGATAGGTAAATTCAAAAATAAGCAGAACAGCACAATTTGATGAGCCAAAATTTATGCGAATTTATTTGCTATTGTTAGTGGGTCGAACTTTGGACAAACCCATTTGTTAATGTTGACCAATAAAGCATTATTGTTGGCTGTATGTTTGAGTTGAAACAAAATATAAAATGGCTTTTCATGGTGTTAACGTTGACACATGAAATTTTTGCTTACAAATAGTTGGTATAAATGAGGGCCAAAGCTATATAATATATATTCTTTGTGTAATGTAAAAGTTTCATCGTAATTTTATTATTTTATTTTTATATAAATAGCGAAATATATTTAAAAAAAAAAAAAAGCTACGAATATGATGAATTTTTTAAAATTGAATTTACATTGATTTACGTAGTTCATTTCCTGAAAATTGATTTTGGAAGCATTATCACTTTGAACAATTGCTAAAAACTTTGCTGACTGTCATTCAAGAATTGTGTATGAAGTCTAATTTGTTTTAAAAGGATTTTATACACACAGTGGCGGATTAAGACTTTTTGGGGCCCGGAGATATTTTTTTTGGAGGTTTTTTTGTGTGCCACAGCGTAAAAAATAAATTAAAAAAAAGAAGCTCCTTAAAACTATTTCAGGGGCTCTTACAGTTGCGTGGCCCTGGGCTAAATCCCCCTAAGCCCCCTTCTCCTTCCTTAATCCCGCACTGTATACACATGATCCGTATATGTATTTTGGTTCTTCACAAACTTGTTTTTAATAAATGAACCTGAATTTATATCTAAACAGTAAACTATGTAATAACAAATAATAATTGGAGCAGTTACATAATTATAATTATCTAGCTATAACTATAACGAAATTATATATTTTATAAAAAAATTGAATTGGCCACAACTGTAAATTTAGCTAGACGTAACTGTTTTGATCAGTGGGATATAATCGATAAATTCAAATAGTATGCATGGAACATTAGAGTGGTCTATTTTAAAAATTTTAATTGGGGTTTTTACCAGTGATGACATTTGATCTAAAAACGCTAAATACCAAAAATTTTGAATTTAGAAAGATTTTAAAATCCCCCACAAAACATTGGAAGTGCTAGTAATGGTTTGCGCAAGTGTTGCGCAACGTTTTTACCCACTAAATGGTATTTTTTCTTAGTGAGGTTCACACAATTACTTTGTTAATCACTTGTGAATAATTCTACAAAAATTTATTAATTAACGACTAATTTTACTTATCCCACAAGAGATTTGTTTCAACTACAGATGTTGCGTAACTTTAGTTTATCTTATTCCAATATTTAAACATTATAGTCCGTTTAGTAAAAGAATATGAAACTTTTAAAAAATTTTCTGAAACCAATAGACGAGAAAAAAAAATTAAAGCAAAAAACTACATCTTTTCCATTAAAACTGGACAGTCTGTTTGTTAAATCCCTAGAAACTCTGGTAACGAGGAGTGGCTTATTGACTGGGGATTCCCAAAAAGCCTACGAAAGTTTCCTCAAGTGGGCTCAATGGCTGGAGTAGACAAAATAATTGCTGAAAAAGAGTGACAACGTTACATCAAACTACAGTATTTCTCTTTACTCCTTTAAGTAGAGAGGGATTTAAAAATTATTTAAAATATTGCTCTTTAATTTATTCTATAACATTTTAGCGAAAACATATGTTGTTGAAAAAATAATCAAAATACCAAATAGTTGTAAACGCAAGACAATTGATAAATACGACCAAAGTAAATTAATGACAACAATAAAACTTGTTAAAGCAGATGACTTAGTGCACAATGTATCAAAGTCTTTTGAACTTCATATGGGAAGTTACGCAGAAGAACCCACAATCAAATCCTTTGGATCGACAAAATAATGGGAAGCGGTCGGGGATTTGCTGTAAGTAATACAGAGAAAAAACTTTTAAAAGAAGCCAGGAAAAGACTGGTACATTGACAACTTTTTTTGAGTTACACGAGAAAACATTAGATGAAAACAGTTTATTTGTCAGACCTTATTGTATCTTTAATTTAGATGAAAATGGTTTGCGGACATATCCCACTGCAGGAAAAATCTTTTGAAAAATGGTTTCAATAATAGTGGTCTTTACCCTGTCGATAAATCAAATCCTATGGTGAAAATGGTGAGTATTCAACCGAAGCGCTATGAACTAGATAAGTCTAACAAAAAAGAAAATTATGTTATAAAAAACCTACAGAGAGCAATTGAGTCTGTATTTACAACTAGTCCGAGTGAATAAGCATTGACAGCACTTGCAAATGCAAAAAACGTAAAACACGTTTCCAGACAAAAAAGGAAAAATTTTAACAGAAAGTTATGTTACCGCAAGAATAAGAAGATGAGAAGAAAAAGATGAAAAAAAGTAAAAAAATGTAAAGAATAAGAAACTATTAGTTATAAACAATTGACATTTTATGAAATTTTAGGACATTTTTCATATATGAGATAAATAATTGAGATAAATTTAAGACATTAATAAATGATTTACACAAATGCGTCACTGGATTACTAAAGGTCTTAAATAATTCCCGAAAATAAAACAAAAGCTATATATTAAACATTTGTACATGAAATCTCAAATCATTCGAAAAATCACAGTTTACACTAGGAATTTTTAATGCAAAAGTCCCACAAGGTTCAATTCTTGGACCTCTCCTTTTTTAATTTATATAAATGACTTAAATAAAGCTTCAAAACTAACGAGCATTATGCATGCAGATGATAAAAACTTGTTCCTTTCTAAATATGATACCGCTGAATTTTTTAAAACAGTGAAAGAAGAACTCAGACATATATCTAATTGGTTCAAGTGTAATGACTAAACCTTGAATACTAGTAAAAAAAAGGGATTTTATTTCATTCGATTACAAAAAAACAATTTCTCCTATCAAAATTACTTCAAATCTTTATCGATCAAAAGAAAATAAAAGGAGATTTTGTTACAAAATTTTTAGGTGTTTATCTTGATGAAAAAATTACTTGGAATCGCCATATTATTTATATAAGCACAACAGTTTATAAAAACATGGGGATCCTATATAAATCACGGATCTATCTCAATAAGAAAGTTATAATTCAACTTTATTACTTATTTATACATAGATATTTAAATTATGCCAATATTGCTTAAGGAAGTACAGAAAAAAGAAAGTTGCAACGTCTTTATCTCCGTCTGAATCGCGCAATCCTTATAATCAATTTGGCAAATCGCTTCTTTCATTCGGAGCATTATTTTATTAAAATGAGAATTCTGAATATATATGAGTTAAATGTATTTAATATTTTATATTTTGTATATATGTGGATAAATAACATATCCCTAGCCGACTTCAAAGATCTTTTCTCTTTTAAACCAATCAGTAAATATATTTTGAGAAACATTAACTATTTAAATGAACCTTTTTGTCAAACAAACTCTAATTAATTTTGTATTACCTATCGAGCACCACACCTTTGGAATAAAATTGTTTTGCCGAATTTTAATTTTGAAGTACCTATTACTTTTTGCCTTTTTAAAAAAAACAACTGAAAAACCTCATTCTTTCGTTAGATAATATATTGAGTTATTACTAGCAGTAAAAGTTAAAAATATATTTTGGTCTACTTTTTTATTATTTATACGATGTCTACGTTTATAAAAGTTTGTTCCTATTCATTTTATTTATTGTTCTTATACTTTTTACTTTTTAATTTATATGTTGGTTTACTCTTGTATAGAATTCTGATGAGAAGATCTTCTTGATCTTTCTTCAGACACAGACTATTTACCTTGCAATTTTGTGAAAATTTCTTAATTTTTTTTTTAATCTTATCTTTGTTAAATGCTTATTTAAGGTTCTGACGACAAGATCAATGCAGTCTTCTTTCAGATACCTTAGATAAAACAAAATGATAAACGACTTAAAATTTATTGCAGTTTAATTTAACAAATTTTTTACTACAATTGAAACAAAACTATCCGATAGTATTCCGTACATCAAAGATAAGTTAGCTTCCAAACATCAACTTAATCAAATTTATTGGAAATATTAAAATAGATTTTTCTGATGTTATAAACCTTTTTTTTTTTTAAATCTTTAGTGCATCCATCAGTCGAGGAATTTTTCCAGATAGTCTAAATTTAGCTAAAGTAATTCCTAGCTACAAAACAGGAGATCATACAGACGTAAATAATTATCGCCCTATACCAGTTTTTTCAGTTTTTCAAATATTTTAGAAAAAATAATGTTTAATCGAATTTATGCCTATCTAATTAATAATATAATCTTATACAAAAACTAATTTGATTTTGAAAAAACAAACAAATTAGTTTTCGTATTAGAAAACTAATTTGGTTTTTTTTATGATATATTTACATGATACAAGACCATGTGGTCTTGTCATTAAGAATTCGCTTTTAGTTGCTATATTTTTGTATACTTAATTTATTAAGTATACAAATTATTAAGAGCTACAAGTGTTAATTCAAGCCATGGATTACTAATGGATTAGTTTGTAAACCGAATACATCAAAAGGGTGTAATTTAACACCAAATTAACACTAAAAAGATGTGCAGCATGCAATACACCAAAACGGTATAATTTAAAATTTTCAGGAATCTATATTGATCTATATTGATGAAAATGAGCAGCTGTGGCGCAGTGGTTAGAGTTCTGGCTCAGAACCCAGAGGTCCCGGGTCCGACGCCGGTTCTAGCCCAATAAGCGACATTGGTAAGAAGGAGGTATGAACCTCCAGTTAAATGCTCTCCCGCGGTGCTCCGTGATAAAACCGTAGGGACTTCTGGGAGCACCTAAATATATCATTAAAAAAAATAAAATTTAACTTCGAAGCATCACATTAACATTATCCCTTCAACAGTTTCCAAATGCATCGGTATTTTATATAAAGCTAAAAACATTAAATAAACGGCAGTTGACACAATTATACTTTTCATTTGTTCACAGTCATATAAACTATGCAAATATTATACGGGAAAGCACTTAAAAGACAAAACTTAAAACTCTTTTTAATCATCAGAAACAAGCAGCTCGCGCAATTAATTTTAGAAATCATCTTACACTTCTTAAAGATATAAAAGCTCTGAATGTTTATCGACTTAATATTTTTAATATTTTATGCTTTATGTTTAAGTGAAAAGAAAATGTAACCCCACAGGTATTTCAATATCTTTATTCTTTAAAATCAAAAAATAAATATAACTTACAAATTTACAACAATCTCAATACTCCTTTTTGCAAAACTAAATACGAAGAATTTTGTATGTCCTATTGTGAACCTCTTCTTTGAAACAAAATAGTTTTACCTAATTTTGACTTTTCAACCCAATTAAATTATTCTGCATTTAAAATTTCAATATTTTTGTCTATTTTTGAAGTTTTTCTATTTCTTTGTCTATGTCTATATATATATATATATATATATATATATATATATATATATATATATATATATATATATATATATATATATATATATATATATATATATATATATATATATATATATATATATACATATATACATATATATATATATATACATATATATATATAAATATATATATATATATATATATATATATATATATATATATATATATATATATATATATATACATATATACATATATATATATACATATATATATATACATATATATATATATATATATATATATATATATATATATATATATATATATATATATATATATATATATATATATATATATATATATATATATATATATATATATATATATATATATATATATATATATATATATGTATATATGTATATATATATCTATATATATCTATATATATCTATATATATCTATATATATATATATATATATATATATATATATATATATATATATATATATATATATATATATATATATATATATATATATATATATATATATATATATATATATATATATATATATATATATATATATATATATATATATAGGGGAAAGCGGGGCAACATGGCGAACGTTTTGAAAGCCCTGAGTTGTTGCAAAACTATAAGTCGTGAAGACATAATACTTTCTTAGTATGTTTACGTTATTAAATTCTTTCATTGCCTGCATGAATTTTCAGTTTGCAAATATAACAATTTGAAATAAATATTAAAGTAAAAAGTTCATAAATTTGTCATCTGGTCACGTGACCGGGGCAAGATGACTTGTTATGCAATTTTTACCTCCAATTTTATAAAAATTTTAAAACTACCAATAACTCTAACTAAAGTAACAAAAAATAAACGAAAATTGCAAAAAACTACTTCTAAAGAAGTTATACATGAAGGGCACCATCCATTATGAGGAACCGAAAGTAAGGAATTTTTTTTTAGGCGCTAAAAGTAAACTTATGTGTATAAAATTGCGTTAATAATATTTCAAAAAGCCAATTAGTGTTTTAAAATACAAGATGCAAATACAGTTTCGTTTTTACACAATTTTAAGATTTTTTGTTGAGTTGTTATATGAAAACCCATCTTGCCCCATTCGCCATGTTGCCCCGCTTTCCCCTATATATATATATATATATATATATATATATATATATATATATATATATATATATATATATATATATATATATATATATATATATATATATATATATATATATATATATATATATATATATATATATATATATATATATATATATATATATATATATATATATTTTTTTTTTTTTTTTTTTTCTTTATTATTGCTGGTATATTAGACTTTATTGTATTATGTTTTATTATTTACGAATATTTCCATAACATCATTGCAAAACTACCTATCTAATAGATTTTATTTTCGTATTTAATTGTTATTTATTACTGTTTTGTTAAACTTCATGTTATTGTTTTTGTTACTTTATAAATTTTTATAAGTTCTTTGTAATATTACGTATTTTTATTACATTATACTCGATACTAGAATTCTAGTATCGAAAGATTTTGAAAGCATTATAAAGGACCTCATGATAAGATCTTCAACAAGTCCTGCCGCTAAATTTGTAATTTGTTAAAACTTGTATTATTAAAAAAATATTGAGTGAGTTATCGAAAAATTTATTTTTTCCTCCTCAGTGTGAAGTTATTGTATAAGCCCTAAATGTAAAGCAAAATGATATTTTTTTTATTATGCATGTTAAATAAAAGATTATTACATATAAAAAATAATGTGTAAATTTCTATCAATATTATCCGACCCTTACCCCTATCGTACAAATACGTATTACATCGGTACCGGCGTAACTATATTGAGAAATAATAAAACGAAAGTACAAATTTGTCAACACCAAGTGTAAATATAAATTTTATTACATTATATTAACTTTTATGATTAACTCTTAAACTATATCTTAAATTAAAAGGTTTTAGAAATTAGAGTTCAATGAGAATTAACTAAATTTTTTTTGCGAACTTCATTTTATTCAACGTCAACAACAGCAGCTAATATATATTACAAAGAGTGTTAACAGGTATCACTCCTTGTTTTAATATAGGTATTTGAACTTAAATGTTTAGATTGAATAAATACTAAAATATTATATGTTATTAGAAAGGCTTTCGGTAAAGTGTTTTAATGGAAAAATCTAACATTTTTCTCTAGCCGCCAAGTGTTTTCAGGGGATAGGAGTGGGGCTAAACTTCAATCTTTACCACCCCAAAACGTCTATTTCATTTATAAAAGTATTTTTTTTTTAAATTGAACTGGTAACTTTTATATTAAAAATTGCTATTATTTTATTCTATACCACCAGTCAATAACAGTGTTGTATAAAAGACATAGGGAATGGACATAAGAAATAGCCATTGCCCCTTTAAAACTTTTTTTTATTTAAGTGAGAAGTTTTCTAAATATTGTCAACACACACACACGTTTTTTAAATTAGCAATTGTATTAAAAAATGCTGATTGCAGAACTGCTTATAAACTAGGGCATTTTAATGTTACAGAGATCAGAAAGTATGGAAAAGAAAATGACAATGATTTCCCTGATATCTTAAATTGATACATCCCAGCAGGTTGCTTTTATCTAAAAAAAAAATACAATTGCTTTTCAATTTCTTAATTAAGCGGTAAGATAAAATAAGTAATTAACATTATAAAAACTTCTTATAAAATTTGAATGACAATTACATAAAAAAGTTTGCATAAAAATTACATTTGACATTCACGCTATTTACAAATGTAATAAGTTGAAAAAAAAAAATATATATATATATATTTTTATTATTTTAAATTTTTTTATCAAAAATGTTCAGCAAAAGAAACAGAAAAATGATGTTATACAACGCTTAAAATAAGAAAGCATAAAAGTAGTAACGTGACATGAAATTTTTAAATTGATCAAACAATAGATTGTTATATATTATTGGAAAGGTCTTCAATTTAATATTTTAAAGGTGAAAAAATGATCGAAATTGAACATTTCCACTAAAAGTTATGGCATTTTGAGTACTGAATTTTTGATATATGGATTTCTTGAAAAACTGTGATCTAATTTTAAGTTTTTTTTAACTTAAAACGTCATAATTTGGTCAATTTTTATCGGAATACATACAACATGATATCAAAAGGTAGGTCTAACAAAAAGCAATATGTATATAGAAAAGAGTGTATGAAGGGTACTAGAGGGGCATCAACAAAACCCTTTGTTATATTGAAAAATATTGATTTTTTAAAAGAAAATTTGTAATTTTTATTTGTATTTTTTAATATACTCAAACAGGGTACCATAAAATATGATTTAGATACTTTCGGTTGATAGGCTAGAAGTCCTTTTGGCCTCAGTCGAACCCTCTGACCCAATATCAAGATTGTTACTTAGTATCTTCCTATCTAAATGCATGCAATTAAGCATTAAAAAAAAACTCAAATATTATCTTCTTGTAATAATAAACAGTATTTGTATAAAACACAAATTTTTCATACAAAAATCAAACTCAACTATATATAAAAATTAATACACAAAAAGATTATAGTCAAACATCAACTAAATAAATATATAAACACCTATCATTAAGTGTATATAAATTCAGCTAAGTGAATCTAAATAAACTTATTGATAAGTATATGTATAGTTGTTAAAAACTACATTCCTGAATCCTCTGCCATCCCTTCTGCCACCAGGAGGTTTGTATTTAAAATGAGGCAGATCTTCACCTCCATTCTGGGCCCATATGCCATTTTTGTTCCAAAATAAGAAATCACTTCAAGACAAGCCTGATTAAAAAAATAAAAAATTAAATGAGTGTTTGAGTATTCCCCAAAAAAATCTTCTGTGAAACAGAGCAGCTGGATTAGATTTACAATTTGTAATTATTAGCAAAACTTTTTTCACTACCTGAATACCAGAAACACGACCAAAAGTTGCATCCTCATCGAAACATAAATTTTTTTCATCCAAGGCCCAATAAGGAGCAAACAATGCAAGCAAGCACATTTCTTTTATGGCAATTTTATTACAAAATGCCCCTCTTATAATTGCTTGCAAAATTTACATTTTACTGTTCCAACAGTGAGGAAATGTTTTAACTCTCTATAATGCTTCATACAAATAAATTAAGTATGAAAAAGAATATGAATTCTATTTCCATGATATCTAGGAATAATACTTTGTGTTAGTATGTTTTCATCTAAAATATCTACAAATCTTTTTGGATCACCTTTGATGTCTATAAACCTTATTTTGTTCATTGCTAAAACAGTTTTAACTGCCATACAATCATTTCCAAATAATTTGCAACTCTCACTCTCAAGAGACTGTAACGCTGAGCAACATAAAACTGTAATTGTGTCAAGAGGGTGCAAATGGCAGTTCAGCTCATTCAAATTCTTGCCCCAGGTTGCACAAACTTTGTTTATAGTAAGATGGTTGACTGCAACTTTATCTGACATTGTGTTAGATTTTCAATGATCGAGTTACAACAGTCATCAAAGCTTTGATTAAAATATATATATATATATATATATATATATATATATATATATATATATATATATATATATATATATGTATATATATATATATATATATATATATATATATATATATATGTACATATATCAATATATGTACATCAATATATCTACTTTGGTTTAAAATATCTACTTTGATTAAAATATATGCATTATATGTACATCAATATATGTACAACAATATATCTACTTTGGTAAAAATCTGAATAAAAAAATGCTATATAATCAATTGAAGTGCATGTATGATTTTCATAATCATTTGCTGTTCCTCCTGGTAACTGATCTAGAGCAATAATTAGACATTTATCTTTAGATGTTAAGTTAATGCTATTAATGTGGACACCTTGTGTTGTAGCATCAAATCCAAGAGAAAGATTATTAGTAGCATCAAATCCAAGAGTATTATATAGCCCACTCCACTGCTTGCAAATCTGAAATACTGCCAAGTTCACAAGCCATTTACTCAAAAGTACTGTGATGAGGAATATTATTAAAAATAACACCCATATAATGCACTATTTTGCTCATAAAATATGAAATGTTACCTGTTGGTAACATTCCATATTTTTATTGCAAAATAACATATTACAAACTATCATTCTTATTTGTAATGTTTTTTCATCCATTAACATCATTACATTTCTTTCCTCCTCAATCTAAAGCAAATCATTCACCGAACTAGCAATTACCCTGTTGTTTGTCAAAACAGCAGCATTATGCTTAGTTATGAGTTTCCTTAACTTATGCTTTTCATTTATTTTTAAGGCTTTTTTTTCAGCATTAAAGTGATTAACCTGTTCACTATAATATTTTTTTTTTTTTTTTTTTTTTGAGATCACATATTTCTGCCCTTAAAGCTTTAATTATTTTTTTTTTTTTAACATTTTGTCTAGAACACATAATTGATTTGGCATGCTGTTTATTTCAGCTTTTCATAGTGCTATCTTGCTTCGACGTTCTATGTAAGTTAGCTAACCGAAAAGACAAGTAAGATAACCTATCTTTTAACTTTTGTTTTATAGGGCTTAATTTCTCTCTAAAGATATGTTTAGTAACATTTTGTTCGCGATAACCTGCAGATGTAGATGGCTCATGGTGTAAAGGATATGAAACATTCATATTGGCAAATGAAATATCTGAAGAATGATTTGCCTAATAATATTAGGCAAATTTGATATATGGTCTAAAAAAGGTTCATTGCCAAAGTCAACAAAATGATTATCGTCCTCAACCCTGTGAAAGTGTCTAGCCCAATTACCGTCCTCAACCCTGTGAAAGTGTCTAGCCCAATTCAATGATTTATTTATGAGACTCCTAACTTTACGAAATTTACAGTTATTTATCTTAAAATGTTTAGTGACTTGTTAAGACTTGTAGATGTTTTGATTTATGAGCCACTATTTTTTGCAACTGTAAAAGAATATGTCTATTTCTACAAACTGTACTGCACTCTGTATTAGAGTCAATACAAAACTATCAGTTAAATACTTTTTGCATTCACCATAAAAGACAGACTTCATTTTGGACCCATTGCAACTAGAAAAAAAAAATTAGATTAAGTAGTTTACTTTTTGATAAATAAAAAATAATAATATATTAAAATAAAGGTAAATATACTGACATTACAGTTGCTAACTACATTACAATTATTTAAATGAGTTATATAATCTATATTTAATATCATTATTGTTCTTACTAATACACTCTGCCCCCTCTTTCCAGTCTATGTGTATATTAAAACCTAAAATACTTATCTAATTGCGGTATAGTTGTAAGGTGTGTTTTTATGCTTTTTTTTTCAAAAAAAATTTGTCAGGTAGTAAGAAAAAAGGTTTTTAAAGGTGAGAGGTTATATTTGAAAAATGATCCAGCATTTCTTTGATATATACTTAATGTCCAAACAACAAGCAAATTTTAAACAATCAAGTTCATAATAAATAAAATTTTAAATCAAAAAATACCATGCAAAACTAAAGTTCCATAATTCTAATATTCAAAAAAAAGTCTATTTTGATACACATTTCTATTAAATAACAGAGCAAAACTAGTTTATACCATGCAACTTTTCAACTAACTTGAAAAAGCGTGTCACAGAATTTAGCCGAAAAAATGGTTCCGTAAAATTCAGATTTACGCGTACCTAATAAAAAAAACATATTTACAATTTTTCTCATCAAGTATAAAATGAAAGGTAATGTCTTCATATGAATAGTGTCCTTCTTCATTTTTAGCTTAAAACCATTTCAATTCAACTTAAACCATGACATAACTTGTGTATCTTGCTTATTTGCCACAATGCTTCAGGGTCTCTAATATAATGACAATCTAAAAAGTGTTTACTTCATTATGATTAACTTGTTCATTTACCCTTGCATATAAATTTGTATATGCAAGGGTAAATGAACAAGTTAACCATAATGAAGTAATCATAATTGTGACCTTTGCATATAAATTTGTACAAATATTTAACAGGCTTTATAGACATGCAAGTTTTAACATTATTGTGGGCTTAATGTTTCATTGATAGTCATGGATTGTAAGGTACCACCTAATAGTTATCTACATTGTTTCCTTTAATATTGTTAACCAAGCCTTTTATTATGGTGTCTATAGAGTGGATAACCATTATGAACTGCTACAATGTTGTCATAAAACTCTTTAGGATAAATTTTTCTGCATAACTATCTTTCATGCAGGGAGAATTGGGATTCAGTAAGCCACACAAACCATGAATCACGCAAGTTTTGATAACATTATGATATTCATGATTAATGATTGGATCTTGAATTTCTGTGAAGTAAAATATGGACATGTGGCAAACCACGCTTTTGAAACTCAATAACCTGAACATGAGTTATAACATTACCTAATACACCAAGTTTGAAAGTATTATTTAGGTTATTTTATTGAAGTTTAAATACTCAAGTAACCTTAGTAACCAAGTCAGGTCTCTTATTTGCAGTCTGACCTGCATTTAAATTTTTATTTATCTCACACCATTTTGGATTGCAAGTTAAAGTAATAAAAAGATCTGGTTTACTATATTTTTTAATGATTGCTATCTTCAAAGTTTTCTTTTGAACTATGACACATCCTGGTCTAACATGATTGTTTACAACTATTATTTTCATGTTCATGTAAGGCATCAATACTTACTCACTTCTCAGTTTGTTCTTATTAGTTCTGATAAATGCAAGATGCTGACATTCAATTTTGACATTTACAACAGCATAATTCTGAAATAGTTTCTTGGCATAAAATATTGAGGAAAAAAATTGTCCAACTGAAAGTATATAATTGTAAAACTGAGAAAATGTAACATGATTTCTAACTAATTTAGAACATTAAGGGTTGTGAAACAATTGATTATGCCAACCAGCATCACCTCTTAGAGAAAACAGAGGGTAAACATTAGGATCTAAGTTGGCAGATATATTTTTTATAGTTATTAAAGGATGACCTTTTGGGTAAAAAACAACTTCCTGAAAAACAGGTGGAGCACCATATTTACTAACAAGTACAACTGCAACTTCATTATGTGAAGTTAGATTATAATGATGTTTTTTTCAACAATAAACATTTTTACAACTGGGAGACCTTTTATAGGTACTTGACGAATTTCTTCATTTTCTGCTTCAGTCATGTTTTTAAATGCAAGAAAAATTTGTATTTATTTGTGAAAATAATGCTTCACCTGCTTCTTGGGATGTTCAATCACGTAAGCAAAAAATTTTTATAGACAATCAATATCGCCTAAGTCTATTTCCTTCACTTCAACAAAGATTCAACTTGCCACAGTATCTTCATTTGGGTTTAAGTTCAGCAGAATTTCCTAAATTTTGTAAAGAAGTAATTTCATTTTGTCTCAGCCTATTTTTATTATTGCTAATTATTCCTGAACATGATGTTAAAATAAATATTGTTATACTCATTGCTTTATATGTATCAAAACTTATATGTATACAAATAAAAACATAGTCAAATTGTTACAAAGGTAACAATCTTAGTTAAGCATGCAATTGCAAGCAAACAAAAAAAAAGGCGCAAACCGACGCGTAACAAAATATAAACAAAATCCTAATCAAAATGTATTAAATTTAAAACAAACTGTTTGTTAAAAGTCGAGAAGAAGAGCATTTAAGAATGCTCACCAGAAAAAGTTTAAGAGCGCAGTTCAGAAAAAGATAAAAGTTTAGAAATAGAATCAAAGCTACACAGAAGAATAACTAACGAAGACCAGACGAAGACACAAGAATAACTAACGAAGACCAGATGAAGACACAAGAATAACTAACGAAGACCAGACGAAGACACGGAAGAATAACTAACAAAGACCAGACAAAGACACAGAAGAATAACTAACGAAGACCAGACGAAGACACAGAAGAATAACTAACGAACTAAGTTAAATAAATTACTTGATTTTTGCAATAAAACAGTAACTAAGCGCATTAAACAGTAACTAAGCGCATTAAACAGTAACTAAGCGCATTAAATTAGACATATATAAGATTGTAGTTTAAAAGTTATTTATTAGTAGATTATAAATTTTTAAAAATTTATATCATATAACTCTTACTAAATTAATTTTTTAGATGGAATGGCGCCTCGTATAAGTGCATTCAATATATTACAAGGAAGACTTCTCCTAACTGTGTTTATTTTCATACTAACAGCATTTATTATTGGTAAGTTTATTACAAATACCAATTGTGCTAAACATACAGTTAATTCAGTCGAATAACGACCCACTAATGTGATATGTTTTGAGTTTTTACACAAAAATAATACTCCTCTCAAAAATTTAAGAGGGAGAAATTATTTACTTGTTTTTCCATTGAAGTAAAACATGTCTTAAAAAGACTTGTTTTTTTAAATATATCAAATTTTGTTTGTATTAGAATGCAAGTTTCTGTTGTGTACAAATGATGACAATGCAAACAAAATTAGGTGAAAATACTAAAACTTTTAAGTGTTCTTTAATTAGGTTAAAAGTGTATTGTTATTAAGTTGTTAGTTCAAAACAAACTTAATAAAACTTTATTAAAAAAAAAAATTTAATTTAAAAGTTACAGCATTTAAACAAGACCTTTTTTTGCAATTAGCTGAAATTTTTTTTTTCAGCTAATCATTATTGCAACAATCTAGATCTTCCTATATTTATAAAGTGTAATGTACTTGATGAGTCATCTACCCTTTGTCTTCTAGGATCAGCTCTTATTCCTGATCTTTCTTGGAAACCAAAAAGATCAGGAATAAGAGTTAAATGCATCCAGCTGCTGTCTTGTAGAAGGCCTCCTATGCAAAGACTTAAGGGGTAAACAGATTCTATCTGTTGACCAGCCTCGCACCCCTTCTCCATCTATTAGGCTGGTGCAGATGTATTCTTAGTACATTGTTTCCAGTTTAGGATGTTGAACGCTGGATCTTCTTGACTCGATGCATGGATTTTGCTTGTGTCTCTGTTTTTATGACTAGGCAACTCATTCTATTATCTCCAAATGAGGGTACAGCTCTAAAACTCAGTTTTATGGTTCTAAGGCCGGCTGGTAGTCAGGTTTCCCGAACTCTATGGTAGCTCTCAGAGAGGCTGATTCCATCAACAGCTGAAAATTATCAGAGTACTAACAGTGCCATGTTGCGCATGGGTGGTGTCCCTGTTTGTACTTTTGGTGTGCATTGCCAAGGCCACATTGGAGCCCTTTGTTATGGCTTTGGGTTTATTAATAGAAATGAGGCAATTGCTTGGGCTATAAAACAGTGTACTGAGTACTATCTATGTTTCGAGTCAAGTTCTTTAACAAATTTAAAAATGAATAAAGTAACAAAAACTATAAAACACAAAAAACCACAGTCATCACCAAGTTCGCTAAACCTATCATTCACCAATATTCGTGGTCTTCGAAGTAACTTTTCTTCTGTTGAGTCTTATCTCTTGCAAAGTTCACCAAACCTACTTGCTCTTTGTGAGACTAATTTGAGTTCAGCTGTCTCATCTCATGATCTTAGTGTTGATGGTTATCTTCCTTTAATTCGTAAAGACTCCAATAGTCACATGCTTGGCCTAGGCATTTACATTCGTAAGAATTCATCCATTTGTCGGGAAACTAGGTTTGAATCCACAGACTACTCTTTTATGTGCTTCCGTTTAGCACCACTTCACTCTATCACCTTTCTCTTTGTTCTATATCGCTCTCCCTCATCTCAAGACTGAACTCTTCTTGATGTTATTTCTGATTATATTGACCAAGCCCTCATTCTTTATCCATCAGCCAATATTGTTGTTGTCGGTGACTTTAATGTTCATCACACTGAATGGCTTGGCTCTAGTGTCAGTGACTCCGCAGGCATTAAGGCCCACAACTTTTGCCTTTCTCAATCCCTAACTCAAATAGTCAACTTTCCAACTCGCTTTCCAGACAACCCGAATCATTTACCTTCTCTACTCGACTTATGTCTTGTTTCTGATCCTAGTCAGTGCTCAGTTTCTTCACACTCACCCTTAGGTGCTTCTGATCATGGTTTGGTCTCTCTAAAACTATTATCTCATTTTTCTTTACCATCAGAATCCCCCTATCATTGTACATCTTACAACTACCTTAAAGCTGACTGGGACTCTTTCCGTGATTTTCTTCGTGATGGCCCCTGGGTAGAAATCTTCCGTCTTCCTGTTGACAAATGTGCTTCTTACATAACTTCGTGGATTCAGGCTGGCATGGAATCCTTTATTTCCTCTCAACGATTCCAGGTCAAGCCTCACTCTTCTCCATGGTTTTCCTTGCATTGTGCTGCTGCAATTGCCAATCGAAACCATTACTTCCGTATCTATCAGCAAAACAATTCTCCAGAAAACAGACGTCTGTTTATTACTGCTAGGAACCATTGTAAAAAGGTTTTGTCTAACGCCAAAGCCTGCTATTCTCAGATCATGAAATCTCATATTTCATCACAAAAATTAGACTTTCGTGACTTCTGGAGAATCTTTAATAGTATCAATAATATGGGCAAGTCTGTAATTCCACCTCTTTTGTACGGTTCAGACTTTGTCACCACACCTAAAGACAAAGCTAAATTGTTTGCCAAGAACTTTTCATCAATATCATCTCTTGATTCCACTAGTTGCGTTCTACCTGATATAGCCGTCAAACAGGTTGATCCACTGCTCGACATCCGTATCACTCCAGCTTCTGTATCTAAAGTGATTTCTTGCTTAGACTCTTCTACAGCTTGCGGCCCGGACAACATACCTGTTATAGTCTTGCAGAAGTGTTCTTCAGAGCTGTCGTCTATTCTTTCAAAACTATTTAACAAGTGCTTATCAGAGTCTTGTTTTCCAGCCTGCTGGAAAGCAGCATCTGTTATCCCTATTTTTAAAAATTCTGGAGAGCGATCCGATTTGTCTAACTACCGTCCCATTAGTCTTCTTCCTATCATAAGCAAGGTTTTTGAATCTTTAATTAACAAACACTTAATCTCTCATCTTGAATCTCATAACCTACTTTCTGATCATCAATATGGATTTCGATCTTCTCATTCTACGGCTGATTTGCTAACAGTAATAACCGATAGGCTTTATCGCGCATTAGACAAAGGTGGAGAGGTTAAGGCCATCGCTCTTGATATTCCTAAAGCGTTTGATAAAGTTTGGCATGTTGGTCTTCTCCATAAGCTTTCTTCTTACGGTGTATCTGGAAACATCTTTAAGATTATTGAATCCTTCCTTTCCAATCATAGTATAAAAGTTGTCCTTAATGGACAGCACTCTTCTTATTCTGTAACCTCAGGGGTTCTTCAAGATTCAATCGTTGGCCCTTTACTCTTTTTAATTTACATTAACGATCTTCCAGATATTCTCACTTCTAAGGTGGCATTGTTCGCTAATGATACTACCATTTATTATTGTCACGATAAGTAGCCAACTCCCTCTGATTGCTTGCAGGGGGCATCTGAGCTTAAAAAGGATCTCATTTCTGTTACAGCATGGGGCTCACAGTGGTTGGTGAACTTTAATTCAGATAAAACTCAATTTTTTTCAGCCAATCATTATCGCATTAATTTAGACCTTCCTATATTTATGAACGGTAATGTACTTGATGAGTCATCTAACCTTTATCTTCTAGGATTAACTCTTACTTTTGATCTTTCTTGGAAACCTTATATCAAATCCATTGCAAAATTAGCATCTGCTAAAGTCGCTTCTCTTTATCGAGCTCGTCACCTTCTTACTCTGGATTCTATTCTCTATCTCTATAAATCTCAAATCCGGCATTGTATGGAATACTGTTGCCATATCTGGGTTGGATCTTCTAATGATGCCCTTTCTCTTTTAGGCAAGGTGCAAAAACGCATTGTAAACATAGTTGGACCTGCTCTTGCAGCCAACCTTCAACCTCTGTCACATTGTCATAATGTTGCTTCTCTTTCTCTTTTCTACAAATACTATAATGGGCACTGCTCTAAAGAGCTAGCGTCTCTTGTACCATCTACTAAAATTCATTCTCGTGTTACTCGTCATTCAATTAAGTCTCATCCTTTTTCTGTTACTGTTCCTAAGTGCTCCAAAAACTCTTATTTGTCTAGTTTTTTTCCTTGAACATCAGTTCTTTGGAATTCGCTTCCTTCATCTTGCTTTCCTGATTCATATAATTTGCAATCTTTTAAGTCGTCTGTCAATTGTAATCTTGTTCTACAATCTTCATCTTTTCTCTTCCAGTAACTTCCAACACTAATTAGTGGTTGCTTGCAGCCTTGTTGGAAGCGAAGATGTTAAAAAAAACAAAAAAACAAAAAAAAACTTTGATACAACTCATTGATAACTCATTGATTGATTTTTCAAAAATTAAATTTGCTTCATAAACTGTTTAACCTTTAAGTTTAAACTTTTTAACACAATAAAAGTCAGCTACAGCTGCAAGAAACAGCCAAATTATAAAGAATCACAACAATAAAATTATTTCAATGAACTCAACAGTCGTTTTAGCTTGCAATTGTAAACTAAGCAAAAACTGCTCTATGAACCGGGATTGCAGAAAATTAAACGTAATTTATAAGTGCATTGCATAATTCCCATATACACCTGACAAAACATATATAGGTTCAACATAGTAGTGTAAAAAATTAGATGGGCAAACATAAGCAATTGTTCGCAAACAAAAAACTTAAAAACACAGCCATGCTTTCAAAATACCTATGGGTTACAAAGGATTAGTAAACTTTTGGATATAATGGATAGCAAACCCAATTTAACATAGTCCATCATAATCCCCCTACCCCCCAAACTTTTGCTGGATTACTACAAACCAAAAGATTAGATTTTTCTAACACATTTTTCTCTTGTAGTGAATTATTTTTCCTTGAGAAAAAATCATTTTTTTTACATGATGATTGCATTTAGCTTATAGCAACTTATAGTTCAAAAAATATGTAGTTTTTTTTTTTTTTTTTTTTCATATTTTAAGTCTTTTCATTATTATCAACTTTAATATGTTTTTCATAATTTTAGTTATTCTTTTTTTTATTCTTTTTTTTTTTTTGCACACATTTTAAGAATTAAAATTAATTAAGTAAATATAGCTGAGCAAATTTTTAATAATTTAGTTAGAAAAAGTAATTAATATAAAATTTATAAAATTAATTTATTTTAGTATATTGTATACCAACACTGAATGAATCTTCTAATCTAACATTAAGTTTTTCCAGGTATCAGTTTTTACATACAATCAAAGTATAATTTTTTTTTAACTATTATTTTTATTAATTTTTTTAACAGCATGGTGTAGTTATAGTGTAGGACAAAAATTTATGGTTTACGAAAATATATATTTTAGGGTGGTTCAAAAAGTTTTTTTTTTCATAGTCTTAAGAACTTGTTAAGTGTTCAAAGTTCTTGAGCAACCTATAAAAATATTTTGCATTCAAAATTTATTTTTCTGTTTTTCATCTTTGTTTTAATTCCAAATTTTGTCTTAAAGATTTACAGACAATCTGCAAACACTTTTACTGAAGCAAGTGAAAGATCTCAATGATAAGGTAAAAAAAGATGATTTTTTTTTAACATCAAACTTTTGTTGTTGTGTAATTTTATTTGTTTATCTTGGTTTCAATATTTTCAATACTTGTTTATTTTGTTTCAATGGTTTTTTCTTGTCTTCTGTTGTTAGTTAGTTAGTTAATTTAAGTTACACAAAGCCATAGCCTTGTTAAACTCATCATCAGCTGAGTATACACATCTATACCCAACTCGTATTTCGGCCATTTTTGGCTTTTTACGGTAAATGATGAGTTATAGCAACTATGATGACTGAAAACTGTCTAGTAGTTATTTAAGTTTATCAAGTGATGTTGTCTCGATGACATTATCTGGCAAACCATCCAGTCATTGACTACACGGTTGTTAAAAAACTTATGTCTGATTTCGCAGTTCCTGACAATCTCGCGATGAAATCTGATTTGATGTTGAGCTCTGGGTGCTATGCTGCCAGGCATTATGTGCCAATCAATTAGGTTTAAATTGTTGAGAAGCTTATATTTTTGAATAAGATCGCCTCTTTTCCGTCTGTCTTCAAGAGTAGTTAATTTCATGATTTTACATTGAGTTTTGTAGTCTTTATTTTTCAAAGTATGAGGAACTTTCGTGGCGTTGCGTTGTACCTTTTCAATTTTTTCTATGTCACTATCAAGGTAAGGGTTCCAGGCTTGTATAGCAAACTCCAGATGTGGTCTAATATATGCAGTATAAATTTTTTTCCTAATGTCAATGTCTCTTGATACAAACGTGTGTTTAAGAATTTCAAGCATATTATTTGCTTTGTTTGAAGCTATATTGCACTGTTGAGCATATTTAAGATTTTCGGAGATTAGAATTCCAAGATCTTTTTCAGAATTTGTGACTTCTAAAACTACTCTATTGGTTGTACCATCATTTTTGATTTCATCCATAATGTAATCAAATTTTATTGTTCCAGAATTTGCATGCATAACTTTACATTTTTTTACATTTAACTCCATTAGCCAGGTTTGCGTCCATTTAACAATCTTGTTTAGATCGGATTGTAAACCTGCTCAGTCTTCATCATTTTCAACAACTTTCATGAGCTTTGTGTCATCTGCATACATTTTGAAAATGGCTGATTTGACATGAATTGGCAGGTCATTAACAAATATGACAAAGAGCATTGGTCCTAACACAGAACCTTGGGGAACCCCACTAGTTACATCAATCCAGTCAGATTTTGATTCTCCAAGTATAACACGCTTGCAGTTTGTTAAGAAGGCTTTTAATTGTTAAGAAGGCTTTTAATTGTTTAAGAAGGCTTGTTAATTTTATTTTTGATTTTTCTTATCTTTTCTTGTTAATTTTCATTAGTTTGTTATTCTTCATTTGTAATTCAAAAATATTTTATTCATTTTTTATCTGACTTTTTTTTTTTAATCTTTGTTGTGAGATAAGCTTTAGTCTATAATTTTCAGAAATAACAAGTTTTGTAAATCTGTAACAAAACATAATAAATTGGAGAGAACTTTATTGATTGTTTACAATAAATTAAATTAAAAATTAAATCATCCAAAATGATTAAAAAAAATTTATTTATTTAAAAGGTATGTATTATTTAAAAAACTTTAGCATATAAAATTCGCCGAATGGTCACACGCAAGCAGTGAACACACGAGCAGTGAATGCCTGAAGGAAGAAATAAAGTACATTCGAATAAAGGAGAATTATTTTTTGAACAAAGCATATTTTGACAGTTGTCAAGACAAAAATAAAGATTAATAGAGGAATATTTTAATATAATTAAGGCAGATAATGCACCTAAAACAGTACTTAACAATAATAATAATAATAAAAAATAATAATAATAAAAAAAATTGCTTTATGAATACTAATATGAACGAAGATATTCAACAAATACATCACCAGACAAAAAACTTATAAAACAAAAAAATTGATTACAAAGTAAAAAGTATGCTAACAACAATGGAAAGCCTCAGAATGGAAACAAAAAACATCAATGCTAATGTGTAAACATAATTTGTGTAGTGATTAAGTAATAAAGATCTTGTCTATTATTACTGGCTTTTCCATGAGGATCAGCATTTATAACTAGTTTATTCCATCAGACAAACGTCATTGTCACTTATGCTTTACCCTGCAACTTACGCCTTATCCATACTGCAGTAAAAAAGGACTCACTACAAATAGTTGTAACCCAACCATACCCAAATTTGTAAAACACTAATATTTTTTTAATGATATGATGTAAAAAATGTAGATCTACTGTACAATGTAAATAAAAATAACTAAATAAATCACTTGCCATACCAACAAAAAGAAAACATTAAAATATAATAAATTAAAACTCTAATAGAAACATAAAAATTCTAAAAAATTTATTTTAAGATATAAAACCAAATAGGTATTATTAGCATAAACAAGCCCGAGATAATCAGAAAGCAGTATAGCTTATTAAAAAGAAAATTAAAAAAAAAATTGAAATCAACAAAACAACAATAGCCTTAAACTCTAACGCTATCATAGATACCTCATTCGAAATATAATAACCAATCAAAAGTGTAGGAAAATGAGCAACCCGCAAAACCCAAAATCATAACAATAATTGAACAATATACGAGTAATAAAAACCTTAAAAATTTCACCGGCATAAATGGCGGCGAAAACATTTAATGAAGGTTATAAAAAAATTTTTTAAATAATAATAAAAGATGAAAATTGTGCATATGAAAATTAAAACAAAGCTGAGCAATAAATGCAAGATAATATAACATAAAAATTCCTTGTTAACAGTAATAATATGAAAATCAGCAGATAGTTAACAGTAATAATATGAAGATAGTTAACAGTAATAATATGAAAATCAGCAGATAGTAATATATTAATGAATATTGTAATAAGACTAACTAAATATTGTAACAAAGCCAGATAAATTTAAGCCAAATGAGTGGTTAAAAATTCGTTTTGGGCGATATAATAGTGATATAAGTCGTGATATAAAAACGATGTAACGAAGCGGGAAAAAATATTGTTAAGAAGTAAAGTTTTCTCTACGGTCTAAGTTTTGAACTTTTTCTGGTCTGGTTTATTAGCGCTCTCTTTAAAACTACAGTTTATGAAAGAAAATTTTCAACTACCATGCAAGATATATATATATATATATATATATATATATATATATATATATATATATATATATATATATATATATATATATATATATATATATAAAAAGAGAGAGAGAGAAAGAAAGATAGATTATTTCGATTGAACAAATTCTTCGATCTCTTCAGGGTTTAATATTTAGGATTTCTACAATTCAAAAACTCTATTATTTCGAACATTAGGTTAGGCATAATTAGGTTAGGTATAGTTAAATAAAACTGAAAAAATATTATTTTGATATATGACTTTTGTTTTAATTTTTAAAAGAAAATATTTATTTTTAGGTTATCAGACCTTTGGAAGAGAGAATTAACAACTTAGAAATAAAGTAGATATTTTAAATTTATTTTTGTAATATAAAATTTTTTTAATAATTGTATTTATATTGTGAAAAAACTATTATTATTACAATTTATTACTTTATTTTTGTTCACCCTATTTTTATAACATATCATTAAATAAGTTAATTTTTTTTTTGACTTTGAAATTTCATATAAGTTATTTGAATGTTTTAGTTGTAATGCGTTTATTAAAACATATTTAAGTCAAATTTTTTGTGCACTTATTTTTAGAATGAAATTAAAAAAAAAAGAATTTATAAAGCATCATTTATTTTTTTATAGAACTTCTAAATTGTAAGTAGTGTCACTGACTATAATCCAGAGGGGCTTAAAATGCTCCATTGGGGTGTAAAATGATCCATAGGGGTGTAAAATGATCCTTAGGTGTTAAAAGTTATCGATAGGTGTGTAAAATGATTCATGGGGTGTAAAACACTATAAAATCTTTGATATTTTTTTGGAATTATAGAAAATCTAACAAAATTTGTTTTGAAAATCTGGACTTTTCTTTGTTGTTAGGTTTTTTTTACATATTTTCTTTATGAGGCAAAAGAGAAGTGCATTCAATGCAACCTTCACTCATCTTTTGACTTTATATTAACTAATTTTACTAACAACTAATTTTACTAACAACTAATTTTACTAACAACTAATTTTACTAACAACTAATTTTACTAACAACTAATTTTACTAACAACTAATTTTACTAACAACTAATTTTACTAACAACTAATTTTACTAACAACTAATTTTACTAACAACTAATTTTACTAACAACTAATTTTACTAACAACTAATTTTACTAACAACTAATTTTACTAACAACTAATTTTACTAACAACTAATTTTACTAACAACTAATTTTACTAACAACTAATTTTACTAACAACTAATTTTACTAACAACTAATTTTACTAACAACTAATTTTACTAACAACTAATTTTACTAACAACTAATTTTACTAACAACTAATTTTACTAACAACTAATTTTACTAACAACTAATTTTACTAACAAGGCTTCTAGAGAAAAAAGTTTAACAAAAAATAAGTTGATTTTTGGATTGCTTGAGTTTTATTTTATGTAACTAATTAAATTAGTTTAAGGCTAACTAGGTGTCTGTACAAATTTTATTTTATGGCTAACTTGGTCTCAAGTAGGCACTACAATTTTTTAGTCAACTGTCAACCTGTTTATTTTGTTCGCAAATTTAATTATAATGTTCCTTCAACATTTTTAAATATTTAAACATTTTAATCTTTTTTAACCTATAAACATTATTAAGTACTAGCTGTCACTGTGGAATAGATTTACCAAGACCCGTAAAATACCGGTGACCTTTTCTATACTTATTCCTATTTCACACTTCCTTTCTATACCACACTGACCTTTTCTATACTTATTCCTTATTTATTCAATATTTTGTAGTAAGCAGTAGAAAAATAACTATAAGCATACAGGCTTGGTCAGGAAGCGGGAGCAATCGCTCTCAATTCCTGACCACGGAAATAATATTTAGTTGCGAAAAGCTGGCCAGATTTTTTAGTTATGAGAACATTTCAAAAAGCAAAAAAAAATGCGCGCAAGATTAGTTAGACCAATGAGAGACAATTACAAAAAAAAAAAAAAAATTAGGAAAATAACATAGCGTGAAAAAACTTTAAGCAAAATAAATTACGTTTAGAACAAATATTTTCGAAACATCGCTCTTTTATAATTTTTCAATAAAATTAAGCAACATTTTTTATATAAAGTAACATCTTACAATTGTTTAAAAAGGAAATAAATGTTCTTTATTTAACAAAGTTTGCAAATTTTAGTTTTATCTAAGCTAAATTACTTTATAAAAAAAAAGTTAATTTTTTTAATACCTATTTTATGTTTTGCGTAGTTTGAAATGTTTAACATATTTAAAACAATTCTTCTTAGTAAGATAAACAAATGAAATAATTAAATCATTGAATTACTATAGAAACTAAATTAACTAGATAGAAATCTACTAAAAAGGTTAAAAATACTTTATGATGAGGAAGCGAAACTGCTTCACAATATCGCTGATGATGTTTAGTGAGTGGGCTTTTTAATTTTAATAGTATTTATAGCAGAAAAAAATATAACAAGCTTTTAAGAATGGCAACTTAAGCGAAAATAATTAGAGTTAGTAAACCAATATCTAGAAACTTTTCTTTATATCTAATAACTTGCTATATATATTTGTGTTTTGTTGTGACCTCAAGTGCAGTGTTTGTTCATCCGCGAGTTACTTTGTATGCATTGTTTGCACTTAGTAACCAGAAACTTCTTATATGTTTGTTACATAATTAGTTTTATTAACTTTAATGATTATTAATAACTTCATTAAAAATGCAATTATTTTTGTAAGTCTTTGTTTACAAATTAAATCATAAAAATTGCTTTAAAAGATTACATTACAATAAAAACAGATACACAAAATTACAATTACATAAAAAATACATACTGTTTAAAATAAAAAATAAGAATATACTAATAAAATCTATAAGTTATGATAAGCTATTAAAATTTTGACAATTTAAGGTGGTAGTTAACTAAAATTTTTGAAAAATTAGTATTTTTTTTTAATATATATTTTTAAAGAGAAATTTCTGTACTTTCCAAAAATATATACTTTTAGATATTTTTTATACATTTTTTTCCACTAATTTAGCAATTTTTTTGACCTATGTCAATTTATTCATCTTAGCAACGCTCTTAACAATCGTAATGTCAATATTGTGAATTCAAGGATCAAGGTCCCAAATAAAAGTTTGCAAATATTTTGCAACAAATTAAAAGCCTGATAGCAATAGTGTAAACATAACCTTAAAATAAAAAATAAATTAGTGTATTTTTACAAGAGATAAAGAAAACATTTTAGCACTGATTATATCTGCTGTTGTATGTTATTATTATTGCTGTTACAGTTGTATATTTTATAAATATAATATTATATTTATTTTCTATTTTAGCAGTCTAAAGTATATTTTATATTTAGAAAAAAATATATCGAATGAATGAATGAAGCATTTTAGAATTTGTCGACTCCTTGGTCCCGTAACTATGAAAAACAGTTTTTTCTTTGTTCCCATAGCAACAGTTGTAAAAGAAAAAAATCCCTCGTTCAAATCAATCTATTTTATGTGGTTGTGATTCTTGTTAAAAAATATTTCGAAATTTAACGTTTTTTATTAAGATAACCTTTCTTAAAGTCATTTTATTGTTTTCATTTCCATGGCAACAGTACCAAAAATAGTCTATAATTTTTTTAAATTTTTATGCAAACTATTCACTAAAGAGTTATTTTAAATGCCTGATATATATTTTTAACTATTTTATAAGGATATAGTTGTTAAACTTTAATTTTTGCAAAAAATGACCTTTTTTTAATTTTTGGTTAACTACCACCTTAAATATATATATAAAAATTATTATTATTTGTAAACAAATAATAATAATTTATAAGATTTATGGCTTTGCAGATGTGGCTCCGAGAATGAGCTATAGTATTGATAATATATTCTTAAAACAATTTATCCTAGAAATCTCAATACGTAACAAATCGTGGATAATACAATTTCTAAAACATTTCAACAGAAAACTTTAGAGTTTTATTTTGCTTAGTCAGCATATTTTTTGAACCAATAGAATTAGTTTGTTTGTTAATTTGGCTTTTAGTGTTCTCAAATACTCTTTTTATTTTTCCGCACCAAGATGTTTTGATAACATTCAAGTTTTTTTTTTGTTTATATGTATGTCCGTATAACAAAAATTTTTTGTTTCGTACATAAACTTAAATGTTCTCAAAACGACTAAAAAACCTGGCCAGTTTTTTGCAACTAAATATAATTTCCGTGGTCAGTATTCGAGAGCGATTGCTACCGCTTCCCGACCAAGCCTGAGCATATAGAAAAAAATATACTTAATTACTTTTTAAAGTTATTAAACAAAACCTTCTACTATAATTAACTTTTCAACAGATTGGATAATAGTACCTGTCTAAATAATATTTAGAATACCCGCTTGAAACGTGTTAAATAATTATTATCGGTATAAAAAGTTTCAGCTGACCGGACTCGTAAAAATACGGGTTTTTGTAAGTCTATTCCACACCAACCTTTTCTTTACTTTTTCAATTCCACATTAATGTCATTTGAATAATAATGAACGATTGTATAGCTTTGTAAAATAAAAGATACTTTTATTTACACATTTATTAACAAATTAACAAAATTACAATTTTCAATAGTTTTCAATTGTAGGTCTGTATTGAGCAAGCATGTCATTTGATTAATCTAAAAATGTAATCAAATTAAAAAAAAAAAAATACACCACATGTATAACTGAAATCAATTTATTTATACATAATAACAAAACAAAATGTATATAGAAAAATATTAATTACAAAAAAAATTAAACTAAGTTTGCATCATCAATTAACATTTGCTAGATTAACCAACAACAAAAATACTAATTATAGATGTAGCTTATTATTTTCCCACTGCTTCTTCTCCTCATATTTTTCTTCCTACATTCTGTAAAAAGTAAAATATGAGGATCCTGTAAAAAGTAAAATTTTATAGGGATGTGACACTCCCTACAAAAAATAGGTGGGGAGGGGGCAGATGTTGAGCTTTTGGCCTAAATTTAGGCACACACCTTTTGTATCTTTTGAGATGTGGGCCCCTTTATTTAATCTGCAATATATTGAAAAAGCATTGTAAGATATATCTAAAATGGAAAAAAAAATTATGATATTATTTACCAAAAAATAAAATTATTCTTTCTTTGTTTCTAATTTCTTTTTTTAGTTAATGATAAACATAGTAAAGTTTAATTAATTAAAGTTTGCTAAGTTAAAACCATATTTTAACAGTAGACAAAGCAAACTTAAGATCGTTGGTAGAGCACCAAAGTAGAACTAAAGAAATAAAATAACAACTAAATTTAAAATATTTCCAGCTAAACATGAAAAATAACTCTACCACCATGAGATAATAAAGTTAAAATTATTAAAACAAACAAAAAAATAAATAAATAACAACTAAATTTAAAATATTTCCAGCTAAACATGAAAAATAACTCTACCACCATGAGATAATAAAGTTAAAATTATTAAAACAAACAAAAAAATAAATAAATAAAAAGAATATAGTAAAATGTTTATTTTTATTAAAAATAAGATCCTTTTAATTAAAGAAATTAATGTTTACATGGACAGATAAGGACACATCAATAAAGAACATATACAGTGAAAAAGTGATTTTTAAGTTTTTTCACGAATTTATTGTAAGTACTTATTAAATACCCTCTATTTTGGTGGTTTTTGTTATTTATTATGAAAATTATTAAATGCAATTCAAAGTATTCACAAAACTAAACTGACATGGAGAGTCATAAACACTGTCACAGTAGCAAATTAATTAATATTTTGCTGACTAAAATTAATTAATATTTTGCTGACTAAAATTTTAATTTTGCCACAGCTTTATTGGTTATAAATATCAAAAAATTTATAATAAATATCAAAAAAAATACAGGTAATCAAATTAAAAATTAAATACAATTTAGAGCAATCAAACCATAAGTATCTTATAAAATAGAATCACACAATCATATTAGAAAAATTTAATTTTTTTCTAAATCAGTTCTTAAGATGAAGATTAATAAGAAACTATAACCTAAAATAAGTAAATTTAAAAGATTCTATAAAAGTAAATCTAGCTTGATATAATCAAACCTGAATCACCACCAGACAATTACACTGTACTAAATAGTTAGGTTCATATAAAACACAATTAAATATGTAACATAAAATTATTTAAAACCAATTAAAAATAAAAAACAACTTAGTTTATTTATTTAAAATATTAAAAAAATGATAAAAAATATGAAAAAAGAGCTTCTTAAAAAGTGCAAAAAATACAACGGTCCCATAACTCCAAAACTAACAATATTTTGGACTCGCTCAACAAAAAACTATCTTAGAAAAAAGGTCTAATATAAAACAGCCAATCACTCTAGTTGTTTTCACTATTCATTTTTCACAAGTTACTATTTATTGATTAAATCACATAATTTTTTTTTAACTTTGTTACCTATGTGGTGTTCTTAAAAACTTTGTTACTTATTTGGTGTTCTTAAAAATAAGTGTTCCTATTTTTTTCTTTAGAAACAAAAATAAATATGCAAGCGTGAAGTATCTTGCAGAAAAAGATCGCAAACGAATTCTTGTTAGTATAATTAAACAATTAGCATAATTTTTTTTTATCAATATCTAAAAATATCTGACAGAGAGATTCATATACTGATATAAATTTTTTAATTTTTTATTCTATTAAATTCTATTTTAAAGTGTATTTATGTTACAAAATGAATAAATATGTTAATTAATATATATACATACACTATAAAAAAAAAAAAAAACATTTGTTAATAATTATTTTTTTAGATAACTGGTGGGGCAGGATTTGTAGGCTCCCATCTTACAGACTCATTATTATTAGCAGGACATGAAGTAACTGTAGTTGATAACTTTTTTACTGGTAGAAAAAGCAACATAGAACACTGGTAATTTTTTTCTTACTATTATTTTGAGTGAAAGAAAGAGAGGATGGGTGTCACTTAGATGTAAGTCATGAGAGAAAAAGAGAATGGGTGTCACTTAGAATTAAGTTAGAGCAAGAGAGGATGGGAATGCATTTTTTTTAATGTACAAGTTTTAAACTTTTTTATCAATTACAATTTACAGCATTATGTTGCAATTCATATTAATATGTGATATTTTTTATATATATATATTTTTTTATAATTTAATTATTGTTTATGACAACATTTTAAGTTTTGTTGATAAATTTTTTATCTAAACGTCTGCTAGGAATAGTGTTGAAAAATAATGAAAAATAATTTATGGATTTGAACCTAAATATATTTAAGATTTGATATAATAGAAGAAAAAAATTTGTATATATGAAATCAGTGTTAAAAATATTATAAAAAGACATTGTTTGCTTAGTAACAGAAAAAAAGTTGTAAGATATATAAGATATATTAACTACATCCAAGTGGACATATTTCTCAGTTCTTAATTATTATCTATTTATTAAGAATAATTAAAATTATATGCATAAAACTAAGAGTTTTCATTTTAAAAGTCAATAAGTCATTTAAAAGTGCCATTAAGTTATGATATTTGAAAACATGCTGACTAGGGTTGAGCTTTAACTGAAAATTTACTGGTAAATTGGTAAAATTATTTTACTGATTTACGGGTAAAACTATGTTTTACCCGTAAATTTCGGTAAATGATTTGTAAATTTCAGTAAATGATTTTTACTATACTATGCTATAAATTAAACAATTCATTTTAAATCCCCAATTATGAATTTAAACTAATGATTTGAATACCAATAAATTTCAAATGGAAGTTAATGTAAAAACAACAACATTAAAAGCTTTGAAAAAGATGAAATACTTAATAAATGTATTAATGTAAAAGATTGTTTAAACAATTAATGAATATTCACAACCAACAAAAATCAAGATATTATTTATCTAAAAAAACCTTAAACTCTGATCGTGTAAATCTCACTAATACTTTTGAAATTGAAAACGAGGCAAACCTATAAAAAAATACTCTGATTGAACGAGTCAACTTCATTCAGGCTGAAACATAAGAAAAAGTTTTTAAATTACCAAAAAAAGGTTAACAAAAGAAGTAAATCTATTGTAATTTCAGATAAACCTTTATTATTTAAAAAAACCAGTAAAACAAAATCCAATAAAGATAATTTAAGTGAGGTTACTAAAGAGACAAATAGTAATAAATGGCCATCTGGTACTGTTTTAATATGTGGTGATTCAATTCTCATAGGAATAAATGAAAAAAAATTCACAAAGTTAAATTACAAACATTCAAACGAGCAACTATTGAAGATATGCCCTTTAATTTAATTCCACTTTTGAAAAAAGAGCCATCTAAGCTAATCCTCCATATAGGAACAAACAATTGTGTTGATGATTGTTCGGAAACTTAACAACAAACAATTGTGTTGATGATTGATTGGATAAAACTTAATAATAAAACTTAAAGACCTTGTCGAACGTATATCAAGTTTAAATCCATCCTGTTTATTCATTTTGTCTACGCCGACTTTTCTTTTAGATAGCGCCAAAGCCCAGCTGACTTCTAAACATTTAATAATTAATTTTAAAGAATCTCGTTTTAATATTGTTTATAGTTCTAACATTTCTAAAGAATATGTTGGACAACATCTAAATACTAAATAGGTTCAGGTAGGTTAGCTATGAATTTTATTATCTATTTGAAGCCTTTTTGATATTAACCCCCACCTTTAATTTATGATCTCCAAACAACCTTACTTAAACCCTATGAAGAAATTAGTCATAGGTCTGATTTAGAAAAATAAAGGGCTAAATATCCTCACAATGTTAGTCTAGCTTTCATCGATATTAATTCTATCCGTTAAGTTCACATATATAACTAATTTTATTAATAAAACTGTTGATTTGCTTATTATGGGTGAAACTAAAATAGATGACTCTTTTCCTATTAGACAGTTTTTATATACAGGTTACAAATCTCCCTATAGTCTTGATATATCCCATAAAAGTTGACGACTTCTTGTGTATATTAATGATAACGTTACCTCAAAAAGATTAAATGGCGTAGTCATAGTCACTGATGTTCAAATTTTTCCATTTGAAATTAAACTATTAATGCGGAAATAGCTAATTATAGCTATTTATAAGCCTCCTTATCAGAAAATGACTATTTCTTCGTCAACCCTAATAGGATTCTTGATTTTTACTTGCAATCATATAATGATTATATAACTATTTTGGAGATTTTAATTTACAAACTCATGATAAAATAATGAATGAGTTTCTCTGCCTTTATCAGTGTAGTAATTTAATTGAACCAACTTGTTTTGAATCGGTTGTAAAACCCATATGTATAGATCTTATCCTAACAGATAGAAAGACATATTTCCAACACTCTAAGACTCTCTGCGGGTGTTAGTGACTATCACGATCTTATTTTTACAATGCTCAGGTCACCTTGTGCAAGTTACCTCCAAAAAAATTAATTTACAGGTCTTTTAAAAACTTTTTAAGTGTTATATTTTCTGAACCAATAAAAAATAATTTGAGATTTTGTAATCATATAAGTGAGTTTAATGCTATTGCTAGCAACTATTTAAATCCATTGAAAACTAAAATCTAAAAAATAAAAAGCCATTTGCAGATGACTAAGAAATTTAGAAAAGCAATTTTGCTTCACTCAAAATTAAAAAAACAACTCCAAATTCATTCAAATCATTTCTTTGTCTCTTTATAGGAAACAAAGAAACTACATGGTGAACTTGAATAAAAACGCAAAGAAAATGTATTTTAGTGATTTTTTAGATAAATTTATTCAAGTCTTCCACTACTTTTCTATGAAAGATATGCAAACCTTTTTTTTTAAATAAATCTCATAATTCGAACGATCGCATAACGTTGATTGAACATGGGGAAATTATTTTGGATAACTTTCAAATTTCAAACATTTTCAACTTATATATTACAAATGTTGTATCGTTTCCTATAAATAGTGAGATGAGTTATCGTCCTTCTCCTTGAATCTGCTATTATAAGATATGCAAACCATCCCAGTATTATAAAAATTAAAAACATTAAAAACAAATCCAAGTTGTATCCTCAAAATTTTAAATTTCATCCAATTACTCTCAGTGATATAACAAAAATTATTTATTCTTTAAATAGTAAAAAGAAGACTAGTTATATTCTATTAGAGATATTCCAATGTTTATGTTAAAAACTTATGTCATGGATTTTAGAGAAAGCCTCACTTCTTGTATAAATAATTGCATATCCTAAGGCAAATTCCCGTCCTTCTTAAAAACGGCCGATGTCATACCATGTTTTAAAAAAAATGACCCTACTGATAAGTGTAATTTCCGCCCAATTTCGCCAGTATTCTCAAAAGTGTTTGAAATTGTTATTTATGAGCAAATACAGGTTTTTATAGGGCCAAGCCTTTACAAATTGCTGTGTGGGTTTTGGAAAGGGTATAGTGCACAGTACGCACTTTTTAATTTAGTTAATAAGTGGCAAGAATGCCTGGATAAAGGAGGTTTAGTTGGTGCTGTGCTTATTGATTTATCAAAGGCATATGATTCAGTTCCACATGATTTGTTTATAGCTAAGTTAGAAGATTATAAGTTTTTTTACGATAGCCAACAGAGGGTAAGACTAGGATTGTCATTTTCTGAATATTTAAATATGGAATCTGGAGTACCTCTAGTCTCAATTTTGCAATTTTCTTTAATATCAATGATTTTTTTTTATTTATGAAAGACTGAAATCTGCAACTATGCTGATGACAACACTCTTTCTGTTTGTGACAACAACTAGAGAGTGTTATTGCTCGTCTTCAAATAGAAACATCAAATGTGATTTAATGGTTTACTTTGATTTTCAATTTTTTTTAGCTGACCTAAAAAAATTGTAAAGATTAATTTTTAATGGTTATAAATGTAAAAATCATGGTTTTCTCTAAGGTTAAACTTCTCGGGGTTACAATTGATAAGGTTTTGAAATTTGATGATCATATTAAAAGTCTGTTCAGAAAAGCAAATAGTAAATACTTTGCTCTTTCACAAATAAGGAGCTTCTTATCAGTAAAACAAGCTACTGTTATATTCAATGCTTTTATCCTGTCAAGTTTTTCCTATTGTTCTTTGATTTGGATGTTTTATTCGAAGTATAATAATAACCTAATTAATAACATTCATCAAAAAGTACTTCAAAAGATTTGATCTCCCATTAGAAGAAATTTAAAAAATAGAAAATATCCCAAATATCCACCTTAGAAAGGTTTTTGTTAACTGAAGTTTTTAAATCTATTAATGGTTTAAATCCAGAATTTATATTAGATCTTTTTATCAAAAAAATACCTGCCGTTCAATCTTGGCTTTAGTAAAAAATTAGTACTCCCAACCATAGCTTCTAAACATAAGTTCATAAAAAGTAACTTATATAGAGCAACCTCGCTATGGAACTCCCTAGACAATAAAACTATGTCAATAAGTTGTCTAAAGATGTTCAAAAAAAGTATTTTAAAATGGTACGGAAAATCTTGTTTTTGTAAAATCTGTCAAAAATATTATTTTTTTATTTTCTACATCATAAATAACAAATTTGTTGTATTTATTGAAATTTATATTATTTACTATGTAAATTATTTTTGATTTTTTTTTTCACGATATGTATGTTTGTTTGTATTGTCTTATACAGTTTAGTTTAGTGTGATTTTAATTAGTTTATGTTGATTATAAAACTATTGTCAACAATCAACTGAAAATAAAGTTTTAAATAATAAATAAATAGTCAAGAAACCAAATAGGCAGCAGAAGCCCGACAGGATGCAACTCTTCTTATTGCTAAGGGAATTTTCAAATTTCTTTTGAACAGACGGAAGCGACAACAGACGGAAACAACAACTCTTTGCACTGCAATGAAGAGTGCAATTTTGAGACACTTTGAAGAGTGAAGGTAAAGCAATCTTGTAAGCTTGTACAGATACCTTTCTAATCCAAAAATTTTATCCGACATTGAAGAACATGGAGTTTTCAAAATGTTTTTAAAGTCAGTACTATAAAAGACTGCCAAAGATTTGTTTTCAAGTCTATTCCCAACAAATCCAGATGACTTAGAACTCATTCAAGAAGTGTGTGGCTCGATGAAAATCCACTTTCATTTAAAAATGAGCTCGAGGAAGCAATTCAGCATTTTGCCAAAAAACAGCGCCACTATTCAAATGACGAGTTCAAAGCCATTTCAAAAATTTCTTTAAAGCACCAGAGACTCTCCCCAGTCCTTCCAACAAGTATTGAGTCTGTTGCTGAATTATTTGTGACAAAAATTCGATCCAGAATGAATGACAACTTACTTGATACACTTTTGTTTCCTCAAAGCTCATTTATTATTAATATAACAATGATCAATAAAGATATAGATCTGAATCTTATAAAGACTTTATTTTGAAACGAAAAAAAAATGAACAGTTTCTATGACTTTTTTATTTTTTACCGGTAAATTATGCTTTTTTTTACCGATTTACCAGTAAATTTAAAAGTCAGTAAAAGCTCAACCCTAATACTGACAAACTCTTATTCTTTTTTAAAAAGTTATTGGTTTCATTAAAGTGTTTAAGGAGATTTCTAGGGCTTTGTGGATTTTAGATTCTAATATTTTTTGCTATTTAATATTAAATAATATTAGCTGTCAGGTATTGTAAAACTAGTCAGGATAAGTCTATGTTATTCATTATATGTTATTCTTTATATCTCTATTTTAGTTGGTTATAGTATATTGTTACATTAGCATTGTCATGTTGAATTTTAGTAAACCATTAATTGTGAATATATTATAACTTCTGTTATGAAGATACATTTCTAAAATCAATGCTATCTTATGTTGGTTTTTAGTAAACAATTAATTGTGATGATTTTATAGCTTCTGTTATGAAGGTTATTTTTAAAATCAGTTATAATGGTGAAAGTAAACAAAACATATTATAAAAGAAAAACCCACATTGTTTTAAACAAGTATTCACAACCAATAATGGTGATAGTTGCACATTTATTAGCATTATCATGTGTTTCTATAATAATTTTTTTTTTAATGAGTCAACTGGTTGACCAAAAGCTTGTACCTATCTCCTCCTGGTGTACTATTGGAAACAAGGTGCTTCAAATAGTTGGTATCTTGTGTGGTGACATCATTGTAAGTTCTGTCAAAGACTCGATCAGATAACTCGATCAGCATATCTACTAGAGTTAATTCAAGTTGCACCACTGCTGATTGTTTCATTTTTCATCTTTCTCATGAACATGTTTGTAATGAGTTTCTACTAGTATGCTGTGTGATTGAGCAGCTTTGTTGAGTCAAGTTGAGTTTATCGCTTTGTACATTAGCCACTGCAAGCACAACTTGCACTTTATATTTAAAAAGCCCTATTTACTAAGTTAAAAGTTAATGGATTACATTCAACCCCAAAGTTTACTGTGTCCATTTTTAACTCAAAAGTTTTTACATGAAATAACTAGATTAGTTTAAAAAAATGTTTTTAGACTAGCCTCAAAATTTATACCAAAATACATTTTAAGTTCACTGATAGAAAATTTTATTTCTGAGAGTATCGTGTCTATTTTTCATCAAAAGAAAAAAAAATTCATTCAAACAATTTATTAAAAAAAATTTTATGATTAAAATTTTATATTCTGTTATTTAAAAAAAGATTTTCTACAACATAATCAAAAAAAATTTGCGTTCATATTAATAATTAATTTTAATAAGAAAGAAAAAGTATAATGTTATCTACTATATTTGAAAGAGTAATGTTTTACTATAACTCCTTTTTTTTTTAATCTTAATCTCAAATTTTAATCTTAATCTCAAATTTTAATTCTACCCCTGATAATTCTATTAATTTTAAATTTATAATTTTGTTTGTAATAAATTTTTAACTTTTGCTATAAGGATTGGTCATGAAAATTTTGAACTAATCAACCATGACGTAGTGGAACCACTATATATTGAAGGTGTGAGAATTTATTTTTTATCATATTTATTTGTTTGATGATGTTTTGTTTTTTTCAAAAACTCTTTAAAGCGTTAAAAAAAGTTAATGCTTTTTCGAACAAGGTTTTTCATAATTTTGTTTAGTTGACCAAATTTACCATCTTGCATCTCCAGCATCTCCTCCTCATTACATGTATAATCCAATAAAGGTTTGTTATGTAGCATTAATTTAACTATGTAATTTATAAATCTGCAAGCAGAAAATTAAATAATATAAAGCAGGCCAAAGTAAGTCCTAAAAATATTGGTTGTTAATCCTTATCTTGTTTGAGGACTGGTGACAAAGTTTAACAAGCATCTTAACCCTAAATAATTATTGCTACACTTTTAACAGAACTTTTGAGAATTCTGAGAGTTAACAAAGACACTTATGCACACACACGCACGCACACTCACTTATGCACACATGCACACACATATAACTTCAGATAACTCTCTGATGGTAATTTAATCAAAAGATTGTGTTTTACTTAAAGCCAATTTCAGTGAGTTTCACTTATTTTTACAAAAGTCAAACTCCACTTGAAAATAAGGTATGTTGACCATTTCCTTCAATATTTTAAAATGTCCCTTTAAAGTTAGATATGCTTACAAATCTCTCAGTATTTAAAAATGTCAAAACAACACTGAGTTGTCAAAAAAAATTTGAAAATTCACAGATCTTACAAAAATCATGTGGTTGGGTAAAAAATAATCAGGTGTTGTAAAGCATACAACCTTCCAACCAAGTTTTTTTATTTAAAAAGATGGCTAATGATTTATGTTTATCTGACCTCAAAGTTTAACTTATCTATTACTTGTGTTCATAATTCAGTTTTTTTTTCAGAATGTGACTTGGTTGCTTTATTTGTTGTTGAACTGTTTTTTTTTTATTTGTTTATTTAATACTCCCTAATCCTTGCTGAGACTGTAGTATCAATGATACTGTAAATTAAAATGGAAAGAAAACAGATTAAAGATCAGGGTTAAAACAATTATGGTAGTCAAAGTTAGGTTTAGTTCAAATAAAACCAGTTGATTAACTTTTTAGTTCAACTGAAATCAGATCAATTTTTATTTTAGTTTTTCTTTTGATTTTTATTTCTAAATTATTAGAGTATTGTTTAATTAGTTGACTAAAATGAGATTTTATTATTAATTATTAAAATATTTATTAAAAGTAATTAATAGATAATTATTAAAAATAATAAATAATGACTTAAAACTTTCACACTCAAAGGCAGTTTACTAAAGGAGTCATTCCATATGAAATCATCCACATACAAAAAAATGGTTTTATCACCCATATCTCAGAATTGTTTTATTTTACATCATTTGCAGCCCATTTTAAAAAAATGTTAACTGCAAAATTTTTAGCTAAAAATATAAACAGGCTGTTGAGAGCATTTCAGCATTTTTGTAGTTATTTAAAAAGACAACTTTGTAACTTTGACTCAAAATATCTTGATAATGGTTTAAAAGATTTCCTAAAATTTGGGAACCAAATAGGTTTTTTTTTTAGTATCCAAACTTGCTTTTTTCATAACTTATTGTATTTGAACTAACCGGAATAAAACAATGATACATTATTGTCCTTGAAACTGTTTTACCATCTAAATATATTTTTTCTCAATGTGCTTGAGTTTGGTCAATTTCCTTCTCTGAAAATAACTTGAAACAAATTAACATCCAAAATCTGATTATTTGTTATTTGTTTTAGTCTTTTTTGACAAACTACTCTTAACATTTCTATCATAGGAGAATTTACAAGGATGCTACTTTTTTACCAAAAAATACTCATTCAGCATTTAAATGAAAGAATTTAAATTTTTTAAAATGGCCTAAAATGCTTGTTAAGTATTGGAAGGTAAACACAAAAAAAAATTAATAAGTGAATCAATTTTTAAAACTAATAATTTTTATAAACTTTTTCATTCTTCATAAATATTTATTTAATAACATTTGTAAGCATTTAAATTAGCTTATTTTGTAAAAAAGTTAGTTTTGATTTTTTTTTACCTGTTTTAAAAAAACAGCTGCAGAATAGTGCTCAAAAGTTTTGAACACATCAGAATCAAACTTATTTTTTTTTTAGAACTTAAAAAGTAGAAAAAAAGGTTTTAATTAAAAAATTTAAATTTTAAATTATTTCAAATACAATATTTTTTTTAAGAATATTTAGAATATTAAGAGAAAAAAAAAAAAAAAAACGATGAAAAAAACTATTAAATATTTTGGAAGAAAGTAATCCATAGGGGTTGTCCATTAAGTACATATGCTTTTTTTTCAACCCTCCCCATCCTCTTCCCGCATTTTGCTTTAAGCTTTTTTGAGTACCCCTTCCTCCCTAAAAATATCTACGCTCTTAACTTACCTCTCCTACATTTTATGATATTTTTTTTAATTTAGTGTCTCCTCACTTTTATAATTGATCCCCTGCCCCCCATCTCATGTGTTTCATTTGCAGACCCCCCTCCTCCATCTGAGTATACATACTTTATGGATGATCCCAAATGGCTATTATAAAAATAAACAATCTAATAAATGGCTTTTCTGAAAAAGAAATATTAAAGCATTTTCCAATAATAATCTCCAATTAAAAATTAAAAAAAAAATAATTGAGATTTAATTATAAAACTTACTAAACTTTTACAGGTTTTGAAATTGTTTTTAGGTTGAACCTTAATAAGGAACGTGACCATCTCTATTTTTATGTACATCTTATTCTTATGGAATTGGAAAGTCACGACAACAATACTAAAAAATTTTTTTAAGTTTTCTCTAAGATCTTCACTTGGTTATTTGGAAAGTTTTCAGTCAAACACAATCCAAACATTTTTAATTGGATTCAGTTGATCTAGTTGGCCACTTAAGTACCTTAATATTGTTTTGCGCTAACCATTCTGTTACAGATTTTGCTTTATGGTGTGCAACATGTCTTGTTAAAACATCCGCTATGGCTTATTACCAAAAAAAAATGTCCTTGGTAGGCATTAAATAGTTTTTGAAGGTGTCAATGTATCAATGTTGGTTTATTCGATCATTGTAAAATATTCTATAAATAAATTTATCATCAATGATACTTGTCATTTTTAATTTAAGTTTCATTAAAATTTCCAATAGTTCTACTTATACATATTTCAATATAAGAGTAACCTCCCATATTAAGGTAAATAAAATGCTGTTTGATTTCTTGACTTATTGTTTTTTTCTATAGACTTCTATTATTATTATTATTATTATTATTATTATTATTATTATTATTATTATTATTATTATTATTATTATTATTATTATTATTATTATTATCATCATTATTATCTAGAGTTAAGCAATAATAATGAATTAAAATAAAATGAACTTTTAAAAATACTACATTTAACTTTAAATATATTTTTGCAGTATTTTATTAAAAAGTAAATTGTTAAAGTGACTTTGCTTCAGTGATAAATTTGAACTTCATCCTGGTTAAAAAAAATATATTTTTCAGCAAAATCTCCTAAAATTAAGCATTCATTTTGGTTTTGATTTTCTTTACAGTTTTTTAAGTATCTATTTTGTGTTTTTGCTATAACTGGTTGTGTAGTAAGATTGTTGTCAATGCTGCTACATAACAAATCATTAAATTTATCTAGTGATTGTAACAGTAGTGTTGTATGGTTAGTAGCTTGCCATTGGTTGAACACCATATCTTGTTCTAGTTCATGGTCTATGAACTCATGCACTAACAAACTTTTTAAGCTTGAACACCAGGTCAAATCTTTATCAACTTTTATTCAACCATCAACTGCATCAAAAAAATTTTTGCATTTCGATGATGATGTATACTCATATACTGTTAGTACCTGATGTTTTAATAACCACTTAGATTTCAAAGTTTGGCAAAATGTCCCTGACAACATAATAGTCGTTTTTAAATGCAATGTGTCATTAAGATTGAGTAGTAAAAACCTTTTTTGTACATGTTTTTCTTTTAAATCTTTTTTTTTTTATCATTATTGAAAACTCATAGTTTAGAATTGAAAATTTGATCATGAATTTCAATAATCATGAACTTCAATAATCATGAATTTCAATAAAATGTTTTTCTTTTAGTTTACATATTAGTTCTGCTGTAACTGTAATAAATGTTAGATTACCTTTTTTAGATAATAACACTTTTTTTACTTTCCTTGTGTATTCCAAAAAGGTTGCTGCACTATGTATTTTTTCTCTCCAAATACTTTGCATAAAACAAAGTTCTTAAAATATTTTCCATAGCTCATAATTCTAATGGAACTAAATTTTCCTTTTAAATTTGTTTGCCACATTTTTTCTTCCTGTTCACAAGATATTTAAGATATATAAAACTTTGTTTTCTATAATCCAGTTTTGTGGCAATGAATGTTGTGAGTTTTTCCAATGTCACATTTCTCCATATTCAATATATTTATTATTTATTAATTTATCACTAGCTAAAAGAATAATTAAACAATAAATGATGAAAAGATTTAATTTTAAAGATTTTTGAAATGATAAATAGAAAACAACAATGCTTGTGTTATGATTTTTAAAGATAATTTTACTCAAACTTTCAAAACACCATTTTCTTTGCTCCAAAAATAATATAAAATATTAGACATTAAACAATTTGAAATAAATAATGAAAATGAATTAAAATGCAACAAACAGTATCTTATGTTTGAAACAGGGGTGTGAAGTTGTAAAAAAAAAGTAACAACTCCGACTCCAACACCGACTCCAACTCCAAAGCAAAACTTTTGAAAAATTCTTTGAATTCTTTAAAAAATATTGTGCGATAAGTTGAAATTTTTTTTTGACAAATTTATGCAACGTTCTTTGATGTTTAGTATGAACATAAGGTTCATTGAATGTTTTGTACATGCACGTGCAATACCAAGAAATATTACTATCGGAGTCAAAGTCGCTATCTTTTTAGTGACTCCGACTCCGCTAAAATTGTCGCAACTCCACAACTCAGACTCCACAGCCCTGGTTTGAAATACAAAAAAAATTTAATTTAAAAACTCAAAGACATTGCTTTTTATTATATATCTAGAGTGTATATTAGAAATAATTTATTTAAGTAAATATGCCCATGACTATGAATATGTCCTAAATTGAATTAATGTCCTAAACTAAATGTTAAATGAAAGTTTTAATTAAAAAATTGTTTTAAAAAATATTTTATTTTCTTAAGAACAAATCTCATTTTTTTTAGTAGACCTAAGATAAAGTAATGATATCAACATTTTTTCCATGGATTTTGGGTAGCAGTCTTCATTTTAGCTCCAAAAATCAGTTACTTACAAGTCAATAAATTAGTTTAAAATTGCATAAAGGCTTTTTTTGAGAATTTGAAGTCCTTAGTGTATTTTTGAAATCCTTGAGCAAAAATTTAATTGGGTTCCAAATTTTAGGAAAATTCTGAAACCGTTGTTTCTTCAGAAAATGCTGAATCTGCATTATTTCAACTGATAACTTAGTATTTATCATAATTTAGTATTTATCATAATTTATAATAATAATGATAATTTAGTATTAATTATTTCAGGTTAAATCATTGCAATTATCATTTATTTTATTAACTGCAAATGATATAAAAATAAAACAATTCTGAGTTGTATGGGTGGATTAATGAGTTGTATGGGTGGATTAATGAGTTGTATGGGTGGATTAATGAGTTGTATGGGTGGATTAATGAGTTGTATGAGTGACAAATCCTTTTTTGTGTGTGGATAAAGCAAAATTATATGGAAATCTTAAAAATGGTAATTATATCAAAAATAAATATGTTAGATTTAAAAGTATAAAAAAAAAGTTTATTAACTAAACATAAAAAAAGTACATTTTCATTAATTTTTTTCACAATAATTTATATTAAATAAATTTTATTTCAACCATTTTTGAAGTTCTTATATAATTTCAGTTTCGAGACCCAATATCTCAACATAATGAAAACTTTTGAAGAACTTTTTTTTTGATAATTATAGGAACTTGTTGAATGTATTATTCAAAAAATTTTTAAATCCAGTACTTTTTAATTATATAGAACACATTAAGGACGTGGTAGCATAGGGGTTGTCCACTAATTACGTCACACAAATTATGACCATTTTAAACCCCTCCCTCCCCCCCCCCCCCCACATCACAACATAGTAACACTTTAGTAACAAGTTCTGTATGAGTCAACACAAAACCTCATACCACTTACCCCCCTTCCTTCCTTCCTTCACCTAAAGTGTGACGTAATTCATTGACAATCTCATATCCTTATGGGTATGGGTCATCGTGTGTATATGTATATATATATATATATATATATATATATATATATATATATATATATATATATATATATATATATATTATATATATATGTATATATATATATATATATATATATATATATATATATATATATATATATATATATATATATATATATATATATGTATATATATATATATATATATATATGTATATATATATATATATAGACAGTGCTTGAAGTGGAGAAAAAAAAGTAACGGGATGGTATTCGGTAAATTAAAAATACCATACCGCCTAATCATTGTTATATATAGAGATTTATAAAAATGTTACGGGATGGTTTATCCTTTATAAAAAGTTTATAATTTATAAATATATATATATAGTGCTCTAAGTAATGCATCACGCATCACTTAGAGCACTATATATATATATATGTATATATATATATATATATATATATATATATATATATATATATATATATATATTTATATATATATATATATGTTTATATATATATATATATATATGTTTATATATATATGTATATGTTTATATATATATATATATGTTTATATATATATATATATATATATAAATATATTTATATATATATATATATGTTTATATATATATATATATATATATATATATGTTTGTATATATATATATATATTTATATATATATATATTTATAAATATTTATATATATATGTGTGTATATATATATATACATATATATATATATATATATATATATATATATATATATATATATATATATATATATATATATATATATATATATATATATATATATATATATATATATGCACTCTTGCATGGTCGTCTTTAAGTTTTTACCATAAAATGTCACCTTTGCAACACTGTGCAAGTTTTACAGTTAAAAAATAAAAAAAAACATTCAGAATGTTATTGTTTTGAAAAAATAAAATAAAAATATTCACAATGTTTTTAAAAACATTCTAGTCATTTAATTTGTGGTTTTGTGGTTTAATTACTTCCTGCAATTAAATTAATGAGTTTTGACATAATGTATCCTTAATTTTGTAAACTTTAATTCCACAAACAAGAAAAATTGAGTATCTAAGCCCTTTACTATAGGTATATATATATATATATATATATATATATATATATATATATATATATATATATATATATATATATATATATATATATATATATATATACACAACTTTCATGAGTGACCATTCACATACATGAACTGCACTTAAACAATTCTTTTGACTTTATGATATGTAGTGTAATTCTGTAGCTTTCTGGAAATCTTTACTTTTTTAAAAAAAAAAAAAAAAAAAAACTAAAATTAGCATATTTTTATTCTGTGCATGATTCATTTCAAAATTAATTTATTCTTTGTTAACATTACTTAAATATTTTATAAGTTCGATCCCCACCATGTCCCTGGTAGTACCGCGCTCAACTTGTTTCTCCGCGCAGCGGCCTTGTTTATCAAGGTTCGTGTTTCGGAGTTATAGAGTTGAGAGAGGGTTATAACCACTATTAAGTAGCCTCCTCGTCTGTAGTGGTCTTCTCAGCCTTAAGGAGGTGAATAACAAAAAAAAAAAAATGTATATATATACCATTTTTTGTTTACAAAATATTTAATATAGATTAGAATTATATGTAAGTAAATTTTGCTAGTTTTTTTATTTTGCTAGTTTTTTTATTATGAAAATAATAGACAAAACTTTTATGAGTTTTTATGGGTGTTTTTGGAAATGCCCCAATTTTTCTTTTGTCATTATTTAATAAGTTCAAAGACTAGTTTATTTTTTCAATTCTTTTTAGTTTTGTCATTATTCAATAAATTATGGTAGTATAAAAAAGTCAATTTTCATAAATGAAAAAAGCAAGTAAAAAGAATTTTATGGCATCACAAATCCTATTACGTTACGTGTTATACATTTTTTGTTTATAACTAAGCCTAAAACTGTAAAAATTTAAACGAATAGTGTTAAACTAAATGTAAAAGTTACATTTAGTTTAACACTGCTTAAGTCTGTATAGTGCATTTGTGGCATTAAAGTTATTTTAGTGTTACATGCATTTTTAATTGGTTATTTTTTTCTATTATGATGATGCATTTGTGTTTTAATATAACTTGAGAATTACTTTTTTTAATTTTTTTTAGACAATCAAAACAAATACAATTGGTACATTAAACATGTTAGGTGAGTTTCATTTAAAGAGTTTTTATTTTAATTCGTAATATTATTGTAGTTGTTAATATTATTGTTATTATTATTTTTTTATTTTTATTGTTACTAAATTATGTTGTTTTAATTGATATTTATTGATAGCCTTAAGAAGTACTAAAAATAAGCTCTATAAAATTATTTAAAATAGTAATAATAAATAAAAAGTTTAGATATTGTGCAACAACAACAACAACAAAAAAACAAATTAGCTGTAAATCAAAGATTTTTCATAACTTTTATAGAAATACTTCTTATTTTTAAAAAAAAAAAACAGACAATTGTTGATCATGTGATTCAATACTCTCGTAATACTTTAAAACTTTATATTATTCACAGAATAATTTAACATAATTAAGTACACTACATCATAATTGATTATTATTTTTGTTAATGCTATTATTGTTTTTAATTTACTTTTTATTTAGGACTGGCTAAAAGAGTTCGTGCTCGATTACTCTTAGCATCAACTTCAGAAGTATATGGAGGTAAAGATTTTTTTAATTTTTTTTTTTTTTTTGTAAAGGCATAGTTTTTAGTTTTTTTATAATAAATTTTAATTTTGTTTTTATTAGATCCTGAAATGCATCCTCAACCTGAATCTTATTGGGGTCATGTAAATCCTATTGGTCCAAGAGCCTGTTATGATGAAGGAAAGCGAGTTGCAGAAACTATGTGTTATGCATATGCTAGACAAGTGCGTTTTTGTTAAATAAACATTTTCATCATCATCATCATCATCATCATCATCATCATCATCATCATCATCATCATCATCATCATCATCATCATGTTGTTGAATAAATTAGGACAAGAAACTGTTTGAAAATTTGAAAGTTTCATTAATAAAATTAACATGCTTTATTCACAAAAATAAACTTTAAAAAACACGCAAAAAACTAAAAAACCTCTATAAATTATATCAAGTTTGTAAAATGTCTCAAGACAACAAATTTTTGATTTTTAATTGTTAAATTCTTTTTATTTTTTATTTTTTTTTTATAATTCTTTTTCTTTTTTAAATTTTAAATTGTTAAATTAAAATTTTAAATGTTAAATTCATTAGATTTCTTAATTCAATATACTTATAGAAATTTCTTGCTGTATGTTATCCTTAATAGTTTTTGTAAAATTATTTTGAGATATTATTATTTTTAATGTATATATTTAAATGTATTTTTTATATCCAACAAAAATTTTCTCAAAACAAATTTTATTTGTCCGACAAAAACATTTACTGCGTTTTGAAATGGCACTCCAATAACTGAGTTAAAAAGAAACTTGATCAAAAGTTTATAGATGAGTAAAACTCTTTATATGATAACGGAAGTGAAACCGAAAGTGAAACGGAAGTGAAACCGAAAGTGAAACGGAAGTGAAACCGAAAGTGAAACGGAAGTGAAACCGAAAGTGAAACAGAAGTGAAACCGAAAGTGAAACGGAAGTGAAACCAGTTTAGATTTTTTATCTGATCAAAAGAAAATTAAAAATGTTGTTGATTGAAGAAAATTAAAAAACAGTTGATTGAAGAACTAACAAAAACTATATAAGATACTCAATTAAGAAAGAAGCATTAAAATGTTCTTAAATTTTATAATAATATTTAAAAAGTAAAATATCAAAAAATCTACGAGAAGATTAAAGATTCTAGATTACCATCTTGAACATAATCTCAAAAATAATGACATAAGAAAATAGTTGTAAGATTGATATAATGTTCATTATTGTCATTGGTAATAAGTTAATTTTTAAAGAAATTTCTGTGTGTTTAAATTGAAAGTACCAAGTGCTTGCCAAAAAAAATCTTTTTCAGCTGAATTATATAAAAAAAGCTGATCTTTTAAAGCCTAGGTTATTATCAATTAAATTTTTATTTATTCACTTACTGTCGGATCCTGTCAAAATTATAGTTGCATATCCAATTACTGGTAAATCCTATCAAAACTCTAGTAACACATCCATTTACCGATGGGTCCTCTGAAACTATAGTTACATATCCACTTATTGATGGTTCCTATCACGTTTTTAGTTACATATCCAATTACTGGTAAATCCTGTCAAAACTATAGTAACATATCCATTTACTGATGGATACTGTCAAACCTATAGTTACATACCTGCAACTGTACATTGAATCTCTTGAAAAAAAATTTTTTTAGTTTTATCAGAAATTTTTTTAGTTTTTGACTATAATGGTTACTATTGTACAGATAGTTGATGTTTTGCTAAAAACTTTTGACAAACTCCAAGTGGATGATAAAATAGTTAGGGTAGTATCTGATAAATTACACAACTGGTTATTTCAAAGTTTTAATATTTAACCTATTTAAAATCCCAAACTTGTTTTGCTATGAGTATTTAAAAATATCACTAAGTTGAAAAAGGTTAAGAAAAAATAGATTATCAAATTTTTTCATAGCAAAAACATTAACAAAATGCAGAAACATTATTACCCCCTGAAAAATTATTACATTTTTTAATCACTACTCATAAACTAATTATTAGTTAGAAAAAAATCAGATACCGCTAAGTGTTGAAAAAAACTATAAATTCATTAATTCAACTTGTTAGCATATTTTCATCGTAGAACAAATGCTTCCTTCCTTTGTAAAAGATATCCTTATTTTAAAAAATTACAAAAATTTGAAAAAAAGTTTGCTCGAGTATAATAATTATATAATGTTCATAATAAATGACCAACCAACACAAAGTGAAATTGACCGATTGAGGCACAATAAAGCATTTATTTATATATAATATATTTATTATTTTTTTTTTTTATCACTAAATCTTTTTTTGGGCATTCTTTTTACTTTTAAACTATTAAATTTAAGTTAAAACTTTAGTCATTAAATTTTAAAGAATTAAAAAGATTTCAATGAGTTTTGGTAAAAAAAATCAACTGATTTTATTCAGGCTAAAACTAACCTTAACTCCCATCCCTATTAATAAGGTGTTTAAGGCTTTATATTTACACGTTAAGATTTATTATTTAATAATTTTGAAGTTAGTTTTGCGAGCAATAAATGTTCAGTTAATATCATCTTGGATTACTAAATGACCTTGTGGATAAAATCATTTAGTGATTTAAAATGGTAAATTATTACTAAAAAACTTTACTATCTTGTATTACTAAATAACTTTATTAACTTGTATTACTAAATGGTTTTACTGTTCATTTGCAAGTTTGTGATTCAAAACAGAACCTTTTAAAAAATGCTTTAAAGAGATCTGTCATACAGTTTTGAGCAATTTTTACCTTTTATTTCATTGTAAGTTTGTTTATAAATTTTGTTTCCATTTTTTTCTAAACTAGAAGTTTACTAGATAAGGAAAAAAAAAATTTTTAATTTAAATGAATAAAGCAGCAAGGGAGCTTCCAACTGTAATATAAATTGTTAAATGATAGTTTTAATTTTTTTTTCTTTTGTTGCTAATTCTTATATCATTTTTTTCATATTCTTGTATCGAATTTGTTTTCAAATTTTCTTTTCAAAAAATCATTGTAGATAAGTAATAAGTAGATAATTTCCACCTAATTCCTTTATTTATCTAAAGTTAAAAAAAAAAATATTAAGAATTATTATTAAAAATATTTAATAGGAAAATTTTTTCACCAATTCGTTAAGTTTATATATATATACATTTATATATATATATATATATATATATATATATATATATATATATATATATATATATATATATATATATATATATATATATATATATATATATATATGTATATGTATATGTATATATATATATATATATATATATATATATATATGTATATATATATATATATATATATATATATATATATATATATATATATATATATATATATATATATATATATATATATATATATATATATATATATATATATATATATATATATATAGGAGGTTACTTTAGCTGTGGTCGCAAACCCTCTCTCAACTCTATAACTCCAAAACACAAACCTTGATGAAAGAGGCCGCTATGTGGAGAAACAAGTTAAGCGTGGTACTACCAGGGATGTGGTGGGGATCAAACTCAAAACTTCTTGCTTAAAAGGCAAGCGCTATACCACTACTCCACTACCTCATATAACTTAATAACGAAAAATGCACAAAATTTTTTTTATCAATATTAAAATTATTTTTTAACTTTAAAATTAAGGAAAAATGGAAATTTTTTCATTAATAGAAACAGAAAGTACGGGGTGACAAAATTACCCTAATAAAATCTAAGTTAGGGTAATTTTGCCACCTTAATTATTTACAACATTGATTTTTTCAAAATTTTTAAAGCACTATTTAAATAAAAAATAATCTAACAATATTAAATAAGTAGAAAAAGAAATTTTAGTTAACTAAAAATAGAATTTTAAAATCATCATGCAAATTAAATTTTTATTTTTGTTTACAAATTATAATACATACTATTTTTTTTTTGGGTCAACATTTTTCACAATCTCATTTTTTTTTGGGTCAACATTTTTCACAATCTCATTTTTTTTTGGGTCAACATTTTTCACAATCTCATTTTTTTTTGGGTCAACATTTTTCACAATCTCATTTTTGACAAGAGCTTTTCTCAGATTGCAACCAAAGGTTTTGCTAATTAGTTATCATGCTATTGTATTGCTTTTGACACTTTGCTTTGCTGCATTTTATCTTTTCTAAATTTGAATTTTCTTTTATGTCGTGGTCAACTTCTTTATCTTTTTCACTGTCTAGTGTCACTTTTCTTTGCTTCATTAGTTGGTTTTGGTTTTTGACTGCTTTTTTGGTTTTAAATATTCTTATACTGCCTTCACTTGTTCAAAAATCAATGATTTTATGACGCATTTAACTTTGACTACAACTTTGAATTGCTTTTTGGGCTTCTGATTTTGATTTCTTGTTGTTATGTGTTGGTGGGGGTATTAGTGCTTGTGAATTGTATAGCTCTGAAAGGTTGAGTTTTTATCAACTGCATTTTTATTTAATTTTTATTTTATTTAACCCTAACCCTAACCCTGACGGATTTTCAAAACCATTGATTGCATGTGATCTATTGAAAGCCTACTCTGAAGAATGTAATTTCAAAAGCAAGAAAGAAAACGTCAGCTTGTCAACATTTCTAAAACCAGTTTCTTTGTAGTGTTGTTGAAGAATTACTTACCAAACATTTTTATCATGACAGTAAGCTCCTGAATCAAGTGGTTGAAAAAATGTTGAAGAATGATATGGTAAAATTATTAGCTCCATATCATTCTCTCAACAGTTGACAGCACTGCCATAGAAGTGTGATTTATATGATCATCAGCTGCTAAAACTGAATTCTTCATCAGTGTCCTTCAAGTTATATCATACAGTTCTGCAGCTTGCTTGCAATTCAGTTTGCCAACTTTAACTTATGCCATTGCTTCTTTCATTTGCCCTTTCTATAATTTGTAACAAATTTTCTTTTATATTTTCAAGGAATTACTGTTGATAATTGATCAATTTATTGAGTTTTAATTGATTATATAACTAACATGACCTGAGAAATTATTTAAAAACTAATTGAGGGTAATTAATAATTATTATCCAATCAAGTGCATCTTTATTTAATATAAATAGGTGGTAAAATTTCCTGATTTAGTATTTCTGAAATAACTTTGGAACAAATTATAATTGAAAAGAAAAAAATAACCCACAGATTCTTTAAAAAATTGTCTACATTTTGGTTATTGAAATTTTTGACAGAAATAAATAATTAGATTTTTAATGGCATTTAAGTTTTTTGTTTTTTTCAAGCTTTTGTCAATTAATTTTCATATCAAGTTCAAAAAAAATAAGTGTTTTTTAACATAGATTGATAAGAAATTTTCTTCTGATAAAAATTTAAACCATAAAAAAACCTGATTTCTGAATAAACATTAATTAATAAGATTGATAATTTGTTTTTTTTCTAATAAAAATTTAAATCATAAAAAATATTTCTGAATAAAATTATAGTCATAAAAGTAGAGATCAATTGCAAAATTTCTAAAGTGGAAAAATTACTCCATTTTTCTCTATTTTTTTTTAAGTTTGTACAAAATTGTTATTTATTATTGTTACTATTATTTATTAAATTATTATTATTGCTATGTTGATTACATATTAAATCTTGCAAAATTTTTGCTTCTTGTTTTATCGCTTAACTAATTTGTAATGGTTTTGTTAAAAAAAAGAAAATTCTAAAATTTGATTAAAAAAAAAAAGTTTAGTAAAATATAATAATTTTAACTGATTATTAAAAAAGAAAATTATTATGGATATTTTAAATTTTAAATTTCCATAATAATTGACACAGCCTTTGTACTTTTCAAATTAACTTAAATAAATAATGGTTACAATTAGATGAGACAAAATGGTTAAAATTAACTAATTTAAAATAAGTAATGATTAGATTAGCTGATAAAATAAAAAAATGATTAAAATTGTTTAGGAGCGGGTTGAAGTGAGGGTTGCAAGAATATTTAATACATACGGTCCTAGAATGCAAATGGCTGATGGTGAGTTTTATTCATTTTTGTTTTCTGTTTTTCATTATATAAAAGAACTAGATTGAATATAGGAAAAAAGCACAATTTATATTATTTTTTTTCATTTTATTGAAACTATTGGATTTTTTATTTATATGATTATGGTTGTCAGGAAAACCAGTATAAGTATTGCTGATTTATAAACAAAAAAAAAAACAATATTTTAAAAAAACAAAACAGAAAAAGGATTCTGGAAATGGAGTGAATACTTCTAAAAATCTTTTTTTGTTTGTGTGTGTGTTTTAAATTATAGATTTTAAATCTTAAAATTACTTAAGTCATTTTTGCATTTGCATTTTTCAAAAGCTTTGTATTTAACTTTAATTTAAGAAAATAATTTTAAGACATTAAAGACATAAGACTTTTTGCATTTGCAATCTTTGGAATGACATTCCAAATGGAAAGTATAAATGAGGAAAAAAAAAATAAAGAAAATTGCTTAGAATAGAAAATTAAAGAAAAGACTTGTAAACAATGAAACTAATAAAGATTATAAGCAAAAAATTATAAAAATTTAAATTAAAAATTAATGTAAAATTTTAAATTAAAAATTAAAAAATTATAAAAAAAAAAAAAAATTGTATATATTTTAATTATGTTATTAGTTATACATATGCTTTTAAAAAAATAATAGTTTTTTTTCTTTATATTATTTACATTGTATTGTAAAATGAAAAAAAACTAGTTAATTAATGCTAGCTTTTTTAAGAGACCCTTGCGGCCACACACCTTATATTACCATGCATACAATATTTTTATTTTACAACTTGACCATGTTTTTTTGCATATTTTGATAGTTTGAGCATTTATAAAATGCACTGAAAAACTTAACTAATTTTAAGAGAAAATTAAAATTAACAAATCATAAAATGAAAAGAGAAACCAACTTAACACTTGATAAAATTGATGAAGGATAAACTAGGGATGTAATCAAGGTGTATCGTAAGTGAACATTTAAATCATAGTATCTTCTACCTCTATTGCTACACCATTCGTCACCTGTTAATCCTCGGATATTTGTTTTTAATTCAATTAAATTAAATAATTTAGCTTTTGAATTTGTAAATACACTTGAACTAGATAAATTAACTTAATATTTTTATTTTTTATTTTTGTTTGTTTTTAAAATTAAATTTTTAATATTATAAAGTTCTTTGCCAATTGTGATGTCACATTTGGTTGTTATTGAAAAAATATATATCTAAAGAACGTACAATTTCAAAACAACAGCTTAGAATTATTGTAAAAGCAACATAGAAAAATTTAGTTATTTTACCAGTAAAAAAAATGATAGTTTTCAAAAACTTTGTTGAAGTTTTTTTTTGATTTTTCTCGAACTCCAAAACTCCAAAAAACTGAGAAAAATCCGACGAGACAGAGTTCCGAAAAAGATCCTTGGGTGTATAATGTAATATGATGTGTGTTTAATGTGATGTGATGTGTGTATAATGTAATGTGATGTGTACATAATGTAATGTAATGTGTGTATAATGTGATGTGGTGTGTGTGAGTATAATTTAATGTGATGTGAGTATAATTTAATGTGATGTGAGTATAATTTAATGTGATGTGAGGTAGGTAGTGTTATGTCTGTATAATGTGATGTGATGTGTGTATAATCTAATGTGATGTGTGTATAAATGTTGTTAAACAAATATTTAGTTCAATTGATAAAAACTTTCAATGTTTTAGGACGTGTAGTGAGTAACTTTATATTACAAGCTCTTCAGAATGAATCATTAACAGTAAGTTGGTTTTATTATTATTTTTCTTTGTCACAGTTTCATAAAATAAATGTATAAATATAGGCACTGTTAAAATGAAGAAATGCAGAAATATTAAGTGTGTATAGTGGGAAAAAAAAAAATGTGGTTAGAAATTATAGGCAATTGGTACAATTTGTAGATTAAAATTTTACCTACAAAATTAAATTCATGAAAAAAATTTAACAGATTAAACTTGTGAGACTGTTTCAAGTCTCCTTACCCAAATCAAGTTACCTTACCCAAATATTAAATGTTGTATAATGTAGAAAAAAGAAGAGAATAATCTAAAATTTAAACTTATCTACAATCAAAACTGACCTTAATTGCCATTTAAAACTTATATAGACTCATATTTAGCTAGAGTATTGTTTTTTTGTCATTAATAAAAATATTGGTGTTTTAATTTTATTGATTTAAGGAAGAGTGACCATAATACACTTTTGTTTTTGTTTTGTTTTTTTTAATTCTTTTTTTTAGGCTACATCAAAAAGCAAAAATAATAGAATGCATGTCCATCAAAATTGATCAATAAAAAATCTTTTAATATTTAGCCAAATATTAAAAGATTTTCAAGAATGTTAATGACACGATGATATAATTTTTTTTGTCAAAACTCTAGTAGTAACTGTTTCATCATATAAAAGTGGTTTTTACAACTCTTAAGGTGCCTTCACTTTAAGTGCAATGTTTAATTGTGCCCCGTTTATTGTTCCCTATTTTTCCCACTAATCTACTAATTCACTAAACTCCCCTGAGCAGCGAGTTGAGCTTGAGCTTTTTTTTGTTAAAATAAAAACTCAATATGTAAACATCATTATTCTTCTTTAAAATTTTATCAATTCATCTTTAATAAAATCCTTATTTAAACAATTAATTTGTTATTTTTTAAGATTCAAAGTAAAAAAATTGTCTAATAATAAAATTTAAAATTATCCAAATTCCAAACAATTTTAATGGTATATATTTGCACCTAAAAAAGTCCTAACCCTTTTTCGATTGTGTTTTGTTTTGTATAAACTTGAAAATTTTTGTTGTAAAGCAGAGTGTCTTCTAAAAATTATTTTTAAAATAATGTGTGGCAATACAATATCAAATAACTTTTACAATTTCTATTGCTTTTTCTTTTTAATCTATAAGAGTAAATATGAGTAAAAAAAAGCTACATTATTAAGCTAAATGTGGAATAACTAACCTGGTTCTTGCTCTCAATTTGCAGTTTGTAGAGGTTCTCATTCTTTTTGCGCATCTATTTGTCTTCCACCTTTTGTTTCTTTCTGCAGTGCTCATAGACTTTTTGAAATTTATAGAAATTTTGCTGGTTTTCTACAAATGGCTTGATCAGATGCATATGGGATGTTCAATGTTATGCTCCATAGGGCTTTAAGCTTCACAGTAATTAGACTAACACTCTCTGTTCTTTTTTTGGCGACAGATTCAAGAAATTTAAAGCACCCAATGACAGGTTTTTCACAATGACACTTGAAACTTTTTAATTCAAAATTATAGAAAATAAAAAAAAGTTTACTAATAAAATATTACATGCACAATTATTTGCATGTATAATTTTATATAACACAAATTTGTTATCAAGTAAATTCAATGTTGTTTATCAAATAATTTATATTTAATCAAAATAGATCTCTTTATAATAATCTCTGGAAAATGCACATTTATATTTAGTTAATAATAATGTTTACAACATATTAAGTTAATTTAAACTCAACTATCTGCTTTGAACACCTCATTTATATACCAGTAAAAAAGTAAAAAAATTTTATCATAATTAGGTATATGGTGATGGAGAGCAAACTCGATCTTTTCAATATATAAGGTAATTTTTTTTTTTTTTCTGTATTTTTCATAGTTCTGTTTTTAATAAATTGTTCAAATTGATTAAAATTACTGTGCTTTAATTAAAAAACAGTGATCTCGTAAATGGGTTAATAAAACTTATGAATGGGAACATTTCTCAGCCGGTTAATATTGTAAGTACATTATAGCATATTTTTTTGTTGTATCATGAACTATTGATGCATTGTTATTATTTAATAAAGTGACCATTTAATGGTAAAAGATGTAGATCAGGTCTACATTATCTTTCCATCTACTTTTCACAAAAATGGTTTTTTGAAAAGTAGATAAAACTAATGATTTTTTGTTACTTCCAAAGTTTATCTATTATATATATATTATATATATATATATATATATATATATATATATATATATATATATATATATATATATATATATTAACACACACACACACATATTATTTGTAGTTTTTAAATAAACTTTGCTTTAAGTTTTTAAATGTTTGTGTTCTCTAGGGAAATCCAGAGGAGCATTCAATAAATCACTTTGCTAAGATTATAAAAGAACAAACAAGTAAGTTCATATGCTTTATATCATTAGGGATTTTATATATATATATATATATATATATATATATATATATATATATATATATATATATATATATATATATATATATATATATATATATATATATATATATATATATGTATATATATATATATATATATATATATATATATATATATATATATATATATATATATATATATATATATATATATATATATATGTATATATATATATATATATATATATATATATATATATATATATATATATATATATATATATATATATATATATATATATATATATGTAAATATATATATGTAAATATATATATATAGTATCTTTAAAAAAAAAAACAGCATATGGCTAGCTTTGATATATCTTTAATACTTTGGTTTTTGTTTTTTTAGTTTAATATATACTTATTATTAGTTGCAAAGTAATTTAGGTTGTCAATAAAGTCCACATTTACTTTTATAGCATCAGTGAAGGATTAAAATTTAATTGTAAATAAGAAAACTAAGTTTTTTTCTAAACTTTATATTAAACATTTATAAGCTTTTTTTTGGCAACCTCTACAAAGTGTATGTTAATATTTTCAGCTTTATTTAGTTCTAATAATTCTCAAATCAGTTTAATTGTAATAAATCTCAAAGTTCTAAAACCAAACTGTTCTTAGATTCCAAAAATCAAGCTATTCTCAGATTCAAAAAACTAAGCTATCCTCAGATGCATTGTGACAATTTAGATTTTTTGACTGCATTGACTTGGAATTAGTCAGTAAATTAATGTTTAAATAAAAGAAAACGTCATAAAGTCTTTTTATGAAGACAATAATTTAAAATGTAGGTATAAGTATCAGTGTTTTAAATATCAGTATTTTTGTTGTCAATGTTATAAATATCAATCTAATTATCAATGTTAAATGTGTAAATATCAATATTTTAGTTGCCAGCATTCTAAATATGAGTGTTCTAATTATCAGTGTTCTAAATATCAGTGTTTTAAATATCAGTTCATCTGTATCTGTCTTGCATCAATGATGACGCAAGATAGACACTGATGCACGAAAAGATGGCACAAAATATTTAGCGGTAATATACCAGGGTGGCCAGCCAAATGGAAATCAGGGAAAAGTCAGGGAATTTTTTTCTAGTCAGGGAAATCAAGGAAAAGGAAAAAAAATCTCTTTTTCAAAATTTAATTTTTTTAATAGTGTTTTTTTACTTACTCCCAAACAACAAAACTTAAAATTTCACACTTTAATATATAACTGAGTCAGGGAAAAATATAAAAAGTCAGGGAAAAGTCAGGGAATTTAATTGTACTAAGTGGCTGGCCACTCTGTATACGAGATAAGCTAACCTAATCCAAATACACTGAAATAAATCAGAAATGTTACTCAAATGATGATACTATGATTTATAATTTTAAAAAGTTATTAAAATTCAAAAGTACATGCCCACTCTAAATTGTTATAATTTTTAAAAATAGTAAAATTAATTTTTTTTGAAAAAGTTACAAATCTAATAATCTATAATAATGATATATATTTATTTTTTATTTTTAATTTTTTATGTAATGTTTTTAATACATTTATTTGGCTTTAGACAGTAGCTCAAAGATAGTGTATATGGATGGTCAAGAAGATGACCCTCAACGTCGACGCCCTGATATTGAACGTGCAGAAAAAGAGTTAGGTTGGAAGCCAGAGGTCAGTTAAATATTTGACATAGAAAAAAAATATTATTTAGATAAAATATATAATTATAAAATATAAATTGTATATTATCATAGATTCTTTTTTTAAAGAGAAAACTATGTTGGGTATTTATAAATAACTGTACGTTTTAATCATGTTATAATTTTTGTTCAGGTCCCACTAATAGTTGGCTTAAGGAATACTATTGACTATTTTCGAAAAGAACTTTTGAGAAGTGATTCTACTAAAGATTTGTAATTTTAAAAACTCTATAGTTCTCCAACAGGATGATTGTGGCAAATGTGAAAAGAGATTTCAACTGAAAATTTACAGTAATAAAAACGAAATTTTTTCAACTTTATATTTGCATATAACACACCCACCCACCTACCCACCCACACACACCCACACACACACACACACACACACACACGCATATATATATATATATATATATATATATATATATATATATATATATATATATATATATATATATATATATATATATATATATATATATGTATATATATATATATATATATATGTATGTATGTGTATATATATGTATGTATATATATATATATATATATATATATATATATATATATATATATATATATATATATATATATATATATATATATATATATATATATTTGTATGTATATACACTCACAGATACATATAATTTATTCAAGGATATATATATATATATATATATATATATATATATATATATATATATATATATATTAATATATTATAGAAATATGTTAACTGTACTTTACAACTTTGCATTACTTATTACCTTTTTCTATATTTTCTAAACATATATGAAATTAGAAAAAATTACTTTACAATGCATTTATTTATTTTATATTATTTTATTTATATTTTCGTTACAAAATATTATATTAAGTTATTAAATTATTATATGCATTAAATGTATAAAATTGTTGTTATTGTTCTTAAGTTTTATTTGTGAACCGTTTCGACTATATTAGTTATATTTTTATTAAGTTTTTTGAAAAACAGTTGTAATAAATAATTAATTGAATTTGATTGGTTTAACGGAAATGTGATTTGTATTTTTTTGATAAAAACGTCAACTCTTCCGTGAATTCTTGTTCAATATTTTTTAAATCTTTTAGTTGAACCGAATTTTTTATTTAACCCGTTATTTGGCATTGACACTATATAGCCTAAATTTTTTATTTTTAACTTTATTTTTACATCCAAATCAGTTCAATTCAAATCAATTTAATAATTTACAAGAAAAGGGTTAAATTTTCAACTCTCAAAATTTTGAATTGTATTGAAGACATTTGCTGCTTCAAAGTAAGTTTTTGTTATATCGAGCTCATGTTCTTCCATTATTTGATCAAATTTAGATAGCAGCTTAACTATTCATAAAAATGTATCGCTATTATGCTCGAACAGCTTGTCTCCGGTACTATGAAAAGCTAGACAACTTTTACCTAACGTTTTAGTAATTGCAACGTTTTTAAAAAATATTTTTGACGCAACTTTAAATTATAAATTTTAAACAAAGACCTTTTTTGAAATTTAATTATGCATACCGCTCCTATATTTTTCTGTTTATTGTTTTCCTTCGAATAACATTTTGAAAATATAAAATTATGAATGTAAAATAAAAATTTCACTCGATTTCAGCTAAAGAAAAAAATCGAAACGTTTTTTAATAATAAAAATCTATCAAAAATTAATTAAGCTGCGTTGGTGACGTCGAACTTACTTAATAATAACTTGTAAGATAAGATTTTTGAGGTGAGTTTCCGCTAATTCGTTTTTCTACGCACGCTCTCTTGATTATTTGTTCCTTTCCGTTGACCGTATTGTTTACGACACCGTAGACCGTATTTATAGTTACCGTTATTATAATTTTATTGAAAAAACTGAAATGATAGAATAAGTTATTTAAAAATTAATAATAATGGCTATTATTATTATTATTTCTATTTTTTGCAAGTTCTTAATTTCCGGTTAATCAGGTGATACTAGCTTGATAATTGAGATTATCTACTACTTGTATCATTTTATAGAACTTCATAATACCCATAATATTAAACACAACCTTTAACTATATTATTCAAGTCATTCAACGAGTTAGACGAATAGATAGATTGACATTCGACGAGTTATAGTAGATAGATTGATATAACAGAAACTACTTGAATGTTTTATAAAATTTTGTTTACTACAAATTGAAGGACAATTAATAAAAATCCAAAATTCAACATCACGAGGGAACCTTTCAATAAATACAAAATGTTTTAATAACAACATAGTTATACTCAATACTACTCAATAATGTTTTTACGTTTAACTTAATACTGCTTTTACGTTCTACTCTAACTTACTACTGTTACGCTCATCTCAGTATTGCTTTTATGTTCGATTCAATACTGCATTTACGTTTATTTCAATACGGCTTTTACTTTCAAAATAGTATTTTACTGATATCAAGTGTTAAGGTAGTTAAAAATTTTCGTTTTCCATTATTTGAAAATATGAAGGATAACTTAATTTTATTTATCTGCTTGCTTGTTTAAACAAATAATTGCTACACTTTTGAAAATGTCCAAGTCAATTGTTCATTGTGTCATTCAGCGAATCAAGTCAACGGATAGCATCAATCCAAAATAATTCAATGACCAATCCAAAAGGTTGAAATTATGATACGCTATTTGGCTATGAAGAACAAACAGATTTTAAACTCATAAATTCTTACTCACATGCCTCCGAATATAAATGTTAGTGCCCACACTGTTCAAAGATGCCTTGCCGAGGATCTTCATGTACCGTGCTTTGTAAAGTTACGTCTTTTTCAAAAAAAGTATTTGTGATCGCCTCAAATTTTGTAAAGAACACAGGGATTAGACTGTTAAAAAGTAGCATATTTTCAGACAAAACGCAAATTAGCAGTTGGCAGCACACGTTGCACATTCTGTTATGCAATGTCGATTTGGTGTGTATGTTACTGATGAGTAACTTGGTCATTATTACATTATTTTAATATAAATAAATTATTTTTATTTGTTTCATTTTGCAGGTTTGGCATTTTCTAGTTAGGTTTTTTTTATAGCTCTTTTTAAATATGTAATTTAATAGCTTTAAAAAACGGTAATATGATTATTTACATTACTTATTTCATTAATTAAAATTTATGACATCACGGTGTTTGAGAGAGTTACCATGGAGTTCGACTTTTTGGTCTTTTGATACATTGGTGGCACATATTTTTTTATAATGCTTGATAAAGTATTATTAAGTGAGACAGTTATTGACTAAGATATTAGTGTTTTCGAAATTTCATCATCATGATTGATTTTACCAAATTGTTGGTTAACTTAATATGGTCTTTTCACCAGTTAAAAATTAGTTTAAAGCGGGCTTTTTAAAGTTTAGAGCAAAGTTATTGTTAATTAAATGTCAATAGCAAATTTTTTGTTTAAAATATTGATCAACACTTTCTGGTGAAAAGTTTTAGTTTTAAAACATAATTTAGAGTTTGTTGCTATTACCATATTTCATTACTTTTCAAAACATCACTATGTGATCCTTTAATGCAAAACATCATTTTGTTGTTGTGTGAAATAACGTATTACCAAAGTTCGTTTTTGAGAAAAGGTTTTAGTGAATTTTGAGAAAAAGTTTTGAGAAAACATTTAAGAGGTTGAGAGATTGAAAGGTTTTGAGAAAACACTTTGAGAAAAGGTTTTGTGTATCAGCTTATTAAAAGCATACTTGTTTTCTCATGAGAAAGATACTTGATATCTGTACTAATTAAATGATGTAATTCTAATAAAATGACATAATACTAATAAAATTTTTAGATAATGTTAAATCTTTCTCAACATAAAAAAATTAATTAATAAAGTCGTTAATGCGTAGATGTTGAAGTAACCCGTAGGTTAAAGACCTTGTTAATGCGTATGAAAAACACATATTTCTAATTCATTTATTCAATATGTTTTAATATAAGGATGTGGATATTTATACATACTGTATGCATACGCAATTAGATATTTATACATGTTTTATGCTTTTTTATATTTTGTATTCATATATCGACTGACTTAAATAGGGAGAACATACAGAGATAGTACATACATCGACTGTCATAAATAGAAAGAACATTCAAGGAGTGTTTATACATTGACTCAAAGTTTAAATTAGTATCTTAATGCTAACTCTAACTCTAACCCTTTCTCCAATATATGTACACTTCCTGGATGTTCTCTCTATTTAAGTCAGTCTATATATGTAAAAAAAAACAAAAACGAGTAAATAGTCTCATACATAGTATAAATTCAAACGGCCATACTTCGTATGAATATATTTATCAAACATAAACATGATTATTTGGCTTTTAAGTTTTTAAACAGTTTTTTTTATTGAAGATCTCATTTTCGGGTATTTGAGTTTCTAAAAAGTTGTTTAGATAGTGGGCCGCATTTTTAGATATTTGAGTTTCCAAACAGTTTTTTAGATTGTGAAATGTATATTTTGGTAATAATTTTAAATATTCTTATTTAAAACTAATTAGTTTATCTAATATTTTTTGCCTCCTTCACAAAATTATTAATTTCCAAATAACAAAAATTTTTTGGCATTACATAAACAAAATAAAACAATCTAATGATAAATCTAAATGTCAGAAAGACTGGGTAAACAAGAAAGAAACTTCTGAACTTTTTTGATAACCTTTGTGATAGATTTCAAGAGAATCATGTCAAATATAATCACAACTTGCTTGATAATGTAATCGCAACTTGCTTGATAATATAATCGCAACTTGCTTGACGAAAATTTTGATGTAAGTATGATTATTATTAAACTTTATCTTTTTTGATTTACAGAAAGAACTTCAAGCTGATCATTTTGGTAAGTGTGATGAAGAATTTTATGACAAACTTCTTTAGGTTTTTTTTTAGCTTTTTTCCTCCAATAATCAATTTTATTATTTTATATAAAACGTAATAAAAGCTTCGAAATAAGCTAACAAAGAAATTTTTGTATAAAAATTGTTTAGAAAAAATACAAATGTATGACGCTTTTACACTTATGTCAAATTTCCACAATGTCAAATGTTATTTGCTTTAAAGTATTAACACATTAAAATGAGAAAATATTTATAATGAAGTGGCCAATAGTTGAATTTTATATTAACTGATAATTGATTGCAAGATAATTTAGGATTCTACATGACAGATGAAATAATGGTAAATGAATTTGAAACATAGAAATATATGATTAATTGAGGATTAAACTTTTATTTTTAATTTTAAATTTTTTAATTTAACTTCTTAACTGATTTTTATTTATATAA